TGTCAAATGAATGAATACAGGATTGAATGGATTCAGTTTAGAGGGGTTCTACAGGTAAAGGCGGCCTCCCTTCCTTGACTGGGCTGTCATGCTGCAATCAGGATTGGGGGAGGGGTGGCAGTGGGCAGAGCTGAGGGGACTCTGGCCCAGAGGGAAAGGCCATGACCCTAACATTTGGCCCAGCTATCCAGGATGAGCTGGAGATCCCCAGGGCATCATAATGAGCATGAGTGCCAAGACAAACTTGTACTGACTTCTAAATTAAAAAAAAAAAAAATTCATATCCTGTGATTCACTAATGAAAATAGTAACCACAAATGATGCGAAGTTCCTGCACGCTGCAAATCGGTATTCTAACTAAACATAGTGACTTTGGTAAAGCCAGCGCCTGTGCACTTGACTGCTCACCCTGACCATTCAACTCAATCAGAGGCAGATCTGGTCTTTTACTCAACAGTATCTGCTGAGCCCCGACTATGTGAACCAGCGCCATGCTCAGCACTAGGGGTACAATGGTGAAGACAGAAGAGGACCCTGTTCTCGTGGACTCTCTGGTCTGACACTAACAAATAAGTGCGGAACTGCTTATGTACACAATTACTTATGCGATCAATTCCTATCGTGTGGTTTGGAAAAGAATAGGCTGCTGCTGATTAATTACAACAGGAAGACCTTCTGGGAGGAAGTCAGAGGCTTCCCTGAGGTGACAGCGGGCTGGGACCCGAAGGCTAAGAAAGAGGTGACCAGGCAGAGCCAGAGGAGAGCAGGTGGACACGCCTTCCAGTCACAGAGAACAGTAGTTACTATGAAGGCAGGAAGGAGACGTGTTAGAGACCTTGGGGAGGCTTATGTGGCTGGAGACCAGACGAGCATAATGAGCACTGAACACCCACTGCTCCCCAACCCAGCCATGTACCTCATGGAAGAACTGGCCCTGCCCCCAGCTCTGGGTCTGACTGATCTGTGAGGATGCCTCTCCTACTTCCCCAGAAGTTCAAGAGTGGGGAAGCAGAGCCGGAAGGGTGCTTGGAGAAGTCCCCTTGCTTTTAGTGAGAGAGACACACGGAAAGCCACTATCACTGATAGGGCATGAAGGAGGAAGTGCAGAGAGGCCCAACCACTGAAGTCAGCCAATTAATTGCAAGCAGAATCAATCGACCCGAGGCTATTGGCTAGGGCCAACAGAGCAGAGATGGAAAGACCCTGGGTGCTTAACTGATGTCACTGAATGTTTAATTAACCAACCCTAGAGCCTGCCTTACCTCTGAACTTCCTGTTGCATGAAATTCTAAATCTTCCTTTAAGCCTGTTTTAATCTGATTTTTTTTTGTTGTTTTTTGGGTTTTTTTTTTGCATCAGATGGCACCCTGATGTCCTTAACCTGGCAAAGATGGGCCATTTGGAATTTCCCTCTGCCTGGTTTCTCGGCCACTTTGACGCCCCCTCAACTCCTACTCTTAGTTCCACTGGATCTTAGCCAAAAGGCCAAGAAGCGGTCCCCTACCCTTAGTTCCAATCATGCCCACCTTTGTGAAGTTCCCCTTCCTCCTTCTGCTTGGAATACCCTTCCAATCCCCACAGACCTGGGAAACTCCTAGGCATCCCTTAGGAGCCAGTTCAAAGGTCACTTTATCTGTGAGGCCTTCTGGCACCTCTGAACAGGTTAAAAGCCTCCCACTCTGGACCCTGCTATCACTCAGAGAGGCCTCACTTTCCAAGTATTCATCACTCTGGTCCCTGGGAACATAGGAATTGTGTCATAAGACAGATATATTAACTGATGAATACACCACATCCAATTTGAGTCCCCACTGTACATCCTTCTATATTGAACTATTCCATTTGTCCCCACCCTTTAGAGTCTTTGTCAAAAGTCAGTGTCTCATAGAGGGGTGCCTGGCTGGCTCAGTCAGTGAAGCATGCAACTCTTGACTTTGGGGTTGTGGGTTCAGGCCCCATGTTGGGTGCAGAGATTACTTAAAAATAAAATTTTTATTAAAATTTTTAATATATTTTTCATTTATTTTAGAGAGAGAGATACAGAGAGACAGTGACAGAATGCGAGACGGGAGGGGGAGAGAGAGAGACACACACACACACAGAATCTAGAGCAGGCTCCAGGCTCTGAGCTGTCAACACAGAGCCTGATGCGGGGCTCGAACCCACAAACTGTGAGATCATGACCTGAGCTGAAGTCAGATACTTAACCGACTGAGCCACCCAGGCACCCCAAAAATATTTTTAAAAAAGTCTATGTATCATAGATAGATGGATTCAAAGCAAGTTACAGGCAGTGGACCAGACTGTTAACTACAATTGCAAATCTTGCAGGAGAGAAGCTTGCAATGAAAGCGATGCTGGGAAACTAGGAGAATTTGGCAGAATTGGACCAGCTGATGCCTGTCACTTCTGAACACACTAGGCTGACTGATGGGGCCTAGTCAGCCCCATCATAAGATCTTCACTTGATTCCCTACTACGTGTCAGGCAATATGCCAGGTACCGCGGTTATAACCAAGAATGAGACAAACTTCTGCCTGTCTTAATCTTAGGTTCTTTAGCGTAGGACAGGCAGTAAACATGTGCAACTACACTAGATAAGTTCATGTAGTAAGAAGTATTACATATAAAACATATCAGGAGGATTAAGGCAATATGAATGAGAGTCCAAATTTGGCTACAGAACAATGGTAATTTTCAAGAAAAGATTCCAGCTGACCCAAGTGAGGCCAGTCAGATTGCTCCTGGGAATCTGGGCAAGGAATACTCGTTATCCAATTGTTGAAACAGGTCAGAGCGAGGATTCACTTTTAGGGCTGCAGCAGTTGCTGGCAGAGTGAGAGAAAGCCAGCCTGCAGGGGGAAGACAGAGCAGAAGACATGTTAGAAACTGCAGTCTCAGACGGACTCAGTGGGTTTACAGGTACAGATTCAGTTTCTTGTAAGGGTCAGCTGGAAGTACTCCCCTCTGGATCTCTGAGAGTCTTAACTCTTCCAATAAAGCCCTTTTGCAGCTTAAATTAGTCTGAGTGTGTTTCTAGGCTTTGCAACCAAGACTGCCATTTCTAAGAATGAAATTACTGGTGGTGGAGAAGACAGTAACAGACACCATAGAAATGAACTTTACATACATCATCTATTTTAATCCTTAGAACTCTGAGACACGAACAACTGTTACTCCATTTTGCAGACGAGGAAACTGAGGTAAAGAAGTTACAGTAAGTAGGCAGTAGAACTGGATTTTGAGTCTAGACAGTTGCCCTACGCAGCCTTTACCACTTCACCATGCTCTCAAAAGTGCTGGGGGATGGACTTGAGGTTATTTCAGCTGTGTGAAATCCCTTCACACACGCCCACGGTCCTGAGCAAAACCCCAAGTCTGAAGACCCAGGCTTCCTCCAATTGAGGAAGTGGCAGCAGCTTTATCGACTCACGAGTCAGAGTTTCTCGTAACTGTCCCGTGTGTCATAGAAACAGCAGCTCTGATATCACTCAGTGAAGAGTTGAACTTGGACTCTGGGTTGTCATAAGCCTGAGTTTAAATCCCTGCTTTGCCTCATATTATAACCTCAGAAGAGTTCATGAACTCTTCTGAGCCTCAGTTTCCCTACCTGTAACACAGATATGAGACTACCTCTCTCATGGGGTTCTGGAAATTGAATGAGGATGGACTACAGTGTTTACTGGCATAACGTGAAGCATAGCAGTGGTCGAGACTCACAGGCGTGCACAGTAAGCCCTAAGGATGAGTATCCTGCGTCTCCTTCTGTGGGAAATACGCGTGGTTCCTTCATTACCCCTTCTTCCGGAAAAAGTTTCCTACTTCTCCTTGGGAATGACTGCATTGGATATAATCCTTGCGGGTCTACCTATTCCTGGCTAACAAATGGCAACACAACCAGAGCTAGTGGTTCTCTTTAATCTCTGGTGTCTAAAAAGTCACTCTCTTTATAAAGTTTTTTTTTTTTTTACTTTATTTTTATTTATTTTGAGAGAGAGAGAGAGAGAGAGGAAGGGAGGGGCTGAGAGAGAGGGAGACAGAATCCCAAACAGGCTTTGTGCTGTCACAGCAGAGCCTAATGTGGGGCTCAAACTTGTGAACTGTGAGATCACGACCTGAGCTGAAATCAAGAGTCAGAGACTTAATTGAGCCACCCAGGCGCCCCAAGACACTCTCTTTTTAGACTCTAAATCTTTTATTTTATGTTTAAAAAAATTTTTTTAATGTTTTATTTATTTCTGAGAGAGACAGCGTGAGCAGGGTAGGGTGAGAGAGAGAGAGAGAGGGAGACACAGAATCTGAAACAGGCTCCAGGCTCCGAGCTAGCTGTCAGCACAGAGCCCAACGTGGGGCTCGAACCCACGAACCGTGAGATCATGACCTGAGCCAAAGTCGGACGCTCAACCGATTGAGCCACTCAGGCGGCCCTAGACCCTAAATCTTTTAGGGGTGCCTGGGTGGCTCAGTTGGAAGAGCATTTCAGTTCTTGATCTCCGGGTTGTGAGTTTGAGCCCCACCTTGAGGGTAGAGATTACTTAAATAAAATTAAAAAAAAGAAATCCAAATCTTTAGCTGCGACATCCAAAACTAAAAGGGAAAACACAAATGGGGAAACAACAGTTTTATTACAACAGTAATAGAAAAACCAGCTGGGGGTCAGAGGTCCCCGTTGAAGAACAAGACCGGCCATTGGCTCCTGCTGCCCTGACAACCAGAGCGTCCCTGGTTCCCGCCTTTCCCAAGCCCCGATTCTTCGGCTTTTCTCACAGATCCCCTGCCTCTCCCACAGACTTACACTCCCCATAAACTCACAGTCTCCAATCAACTTATGTTCGGCAGAGTTGGTTTCTATTGCTTGCAACCAAAGAATTTTTATCTAATGTATTTTTTCAAGCAAAGACTAGGACTCCGTAATAACAAACCCTTAATCTCCTTTCCCTAGTCCGCTGGGCAAAGGGCTCTCGATCGCTGGGTGACAAATCATCCTTAAACCAAGTGGCTTTAGACCATAAACATTTATTATCTTATAACCTCTGTGTGTCCGAAATTCAGGAGTGACTTTGCTAAGTGGTTCTGGCTCAGGATCCTTGATGAAGGATGGACTAACCACCTGACCGGGGCTGGAAGATCTGCTTCCAAGATGACTCGCTCACACTTCTGTGGGCAGGAGGTCTCAGTCCCTGTCCCACGGACGATCCAGAGGGCTGCCCGAGTGTCTCTGTGACGTGGAGGCTGGCTTCCCACAGAGCTAGCGATCCAAGAGGGCAAGAGTGAAGCCATGAGGCATCACAAGTCGCCCTACTCAATGTGCCTACTAGGATGGAGGAATGCCTGGGGGACATTTTGGAGGCTGGCTGCCACACAGGGAAAACGTAGAAGCCTCAGCAGGGTCTTTTATAAGTAAAAGTTAAAAAAAAACACATCTTATTTCAGAAACCCACAGACAACAACTTACAAGAATGGGCAGGACGGTATGAAGAAAAAGGTGTAAAACAGGCAGGACAAAGGTCTCATTTAAGGACCAGGTCTAGAGAACTAGAAGAGAGGAAGAGAGGACCTTTAGAGAAGGAGACACACAGTGCCCGGCGCAAGGACAAAGCACAGTGTATCAGAGTGGCACAGAGCGCAGTCTCACCCTCGGCAGACAGTCACGTCTCTTACAGGCACCAGAGAGTCTGCCACCCAGTTCAGCCCGCTTGTGTCACTCATCCTTACTGCTCCGCGTCCAAGCAGGGCCTGAGAACTGCCACCTGGGAGTCCTGGGAGCTCCGAGCTGTGAGGGGCTAAACTGCATCCCCTCAACACGCCTATGCCAAAGCCCTAACCCCCAGGACCTCAGAACGTGACAGTATGTGGAGACAGGACCTCTAAAGAGTACATTAAAACTGGGCCATGACGGTGGACCTTAATCCGATCTGACCTGGGTCCTTACAAGAAGAGGTCTGAACAACGAGAGACACCAAGAGCACACATGGACAAAGGACTGTGTCAGGACACAGGGAGGAGGAGGCCATCGGCAAGCCAAGGAGAGATGCCTCTGGGAAGCCACGTCTGCTCACACCTTGAACTTGGACTTCAGACTCCAGGACTGTGAGGAACTAGCTTTCCCTTGTTTAAGCCACCAGTATGGGAGCCTGAGCTGAATATGACACAAGCAAGCCCTCTGGACAGTTCCATGAACCAGCTCCTAACCTGTGCCGTGTAATGTGGTGTCAGAACCAAGGACGAGGTGAGAGGAAGCCATAAATGCACTGGATGCACCCAGAGACGGTTTCCACTCAGGGTCCTACTGTGAGCTTCCTGATGGGCCCCAGGCCCTTCCTGTTTTGCTCCAAAGGCTGTTTCCATGCATGTCCAGGCTTCTAGGGCCATCTCCATTGTCCTATCTTGTCTCTAGCTGGAAAGCACCTTCTGTATTCGTTCCCGTACTTCCTTTGCTCCCAAGGACACCATCATCTCAGCTACCGGGGGTCCCTGCTAAGAACAAAGAGAGGACACGTTGCCTTATCGCCTTACGCTGGGTAAAAACCAATGCCCAGCCTTGGTGTGCGGGTCATGTGCCCCAGGCCACGCCCAGTCCTGCTGCCTGCACCCGAAGGGGCACAGTCATCACTGTGGCAGTTTCCTTTTCATGGCCGAGGATGGCGCCCAAGAGCCTGTTTTCCCGTGGTGATGTCTACTGCCTCCCATTGACTGCCCGCTCCATGCAGGTAGGGAGAGTGCATGTTTCATTCACTACTGTGCCTACTGTACCCAGCACAGCGCTTGCACCTAGTAGGTGCTCTGTAAACACTATCTGCGGAAAGGCTGAAGGGAGTGATCATGTTCCGTTTGTCTTTGTACCTCCAAACCAGAACATGCCTGCCAGTGAATGTCAGCCAAACAGATAAATGAGAGGCTTCAGGGAACAGTCCAGCCCATCTACCCACTTACCCGCTGTCCACTGAGGGCCACTCGGAGGACTTGCATAACGTTACTGTGTTTGGTCCCTTCCAGACCTTCTGATACCTTCTTCAGTTTTCCATTCAGCACGTCCTGAGTTAGGTTTATACTGGATCCTTCTAAAAGCCTAGAAAAAAAAGAGGGGCACCTGGCTGGCTCAGTTGGAAGAGCATGTAACTCTTCATCTCAGGGTTGTGAGTCTGAGTCCCATGTTGGGTGCAGAGATTACTAAAAAAAAAAAAAAAGTAAACTTAATAAAGAAAGAAAGAAAAGCCTAGAAAAGAGCCAGTCTCTGGGGGGCTGCATGGGTCAGTGGTAAGTAGGTATGAGGGAGGATTTCTGAAAATTAACATTCACAACCAGTGTTCAAGCCTGCTTGGGTGAGAAGGGAAGGAAGGTTCATACTTCTCAATTTGAGGGACCACATACATACATAACCCAAGTACAATACAGGAAAACTCAGATGGTATCACAATAAGGGGATTTACTAATTTCTACCTCAAGGTCATGTGCTTTCTATGCCTCAGTTTTCTCATCTGTAAAGCAGGGATAATTGTGTCTGCTCCTCACAGGGCTATGGTAGGACTAAGTTCAAACTTGTTAGGCACTAAGTACATTGCTTGAATAGACAGTAAGTGCTCTGAAACATTAAATCTTGTATTTCACTTAGAAATTAAATATTAGCTAATATTTGTTATATGCAAGAGCTCAGAAACATTGCCAGAGAATCTAAAAACAAACTCAGGAATGGGGTAGACATAGGATGGAAGAATGAAGCCCACTAGGAAATTACTTGAAACACAACTTTAGGATCAGCAGAGGGGACACTCTTTGGATGGAGGTTGGGGGAGTGGGTGGGTTGTAGCACAGAAGGACAGAAAAAAGACACCAGGAGACCCCAGCTCCAGTAAGAGTACTGCCACCAACCTGCTACAAACGTTCTCTTATTTTAATTTTTTAAAATGTCATTTTTGAGAGAGAGAGAGAGAGCGCGCGCGCACAAGCAGGTGAGGGGCAGAGAGAGAGAAAGAGAGAGAGAGAGAATCAGAAGCAGGCTCCAGGCTCTGAGCTGTCAGCACAGAGCCTAATGTGGAGCTCAAACTCACAAACCGTGAGATCATGACATGAGCCAAAGTCAGATGCCTAACTGACTGAGCCCCACAGGCGCCCCTACAATCATTCTTTTAGAAAAATTTTTAGGACAACAACCATGATCCTGTACTCCCCACTTGTCTGCATTCTGGGACACGACAAAATTTAGGCCTTTCAAATCTGCCACATCCATGGTCACCTTTATGAACTCCCCAATAAAGTCATAGGCGCCACCTTCCCAGATGGGGAAAGGGTGGCCAGGAGCAGCACCTTGCACAGCTGCATGAAGATGGAGGTGACCCCAGCCTGTGTGCACTTCAGAAGGTCTTGCACTGGGACAGGCTGCTGCATCTGTAGGTGACAGAAGTCGGGGACGTCAGCCACCATGAAGCAGTTCTCAAAGTGGAAAAGGGTCACGGTGCCGCCTGCCCGGGCCCACCAGAGCACAGGTTGCTATGTCAGCTAGCCTGGCGCCTACCTCTTGCTACAGCCATTCCTTGCCCACAAGTTGAAGCACTTAAAGATCTAAAATCCAATAGGCCAGGGGCAGCTGGGTGGCTCAGTTGAGCATCTAACTGTTAATGTTGGCTCAGGTCATGATCTCATGGTTCGTGGGAGTTTGAGCCCCACATCGGGCTCCACGCTGGCAGTGTGGAGTCTACTTGGGATTCTCTCTCACTCCCTCTCTACTCCTCTCCAGCTTGTAGGCTCTTCCTCAAAATAATAAACTTAAAAACTTTTTTAAGAAACAAGCATAAATGTTTAAAAAAAATAACGATAAAATCCAATAGGCCAACAGCTGCTCTCTGCTTTGCTGGTAGCCAGCTGAGATCTCCTCTCACCAGTGTGTTTTGAGTGTCAAGAGAGATTCTCCAGCAAGAGCTGGACTTGCAAAAAAAAAAAAGAGAGAGAGAGAGAGAGAGAGAAATAAAATAAAATAAAAAATAAAAAATTTCTGAGCTCCTGGAGGGGCACCTGGGTGGCTCAGCTGGTTAAGCATCTGACTTCAGCTCAGGTCCTGATGTTGCAGTTTGTGAGTTCAAGCCCTACACTGGGCTCTGTGCTGAAAGCTTGGAGCCTGCTTCGGATTCTGTGTCTCCTTCTCTCTCTAACCCTCCCCTACTCACTCAGTTTCTCTCTCTCTCTCTCAAGTAAATAATAACTATTGAAAATTTTTTTAAATTTCTGAGCTGGAATAATGGACAAGAGCAGGATGGGTGGGTCTATTTTACAGCACCTTCCCAGTTCCCCTCAGCTATTATGGAGACTCCAAACTGGAAATGCTGCAGAGGGCCTGGAGAGCTTCACTGCTGCGGCTGGTCCACAATGCCAACTGAGGTACTGCCCGTGCACACTGGGGTCCAGACAGCCCCCTGCTGATGATGGGCTTCACGTGGAGGGAACTGTGTTCATAAGTCACGTGAAGAAACTGCCTCTTGGTACCGACAGATTCCCTTACTAACTCTGGTATCTGAGCCACTGAGTTTCAACGGGAGGCAAAAGTAACCATGCTTATTGCGTCATTGACTCAGCCACATGCTTACTGTTACTCTCACACCAGGAGACAAAATACAGAATACATAAAATTTAAGATGGAGGGGGCACTTGGCTGGCTCAGTCGGTTGAACGTCTGACTCTTGATCTCGGCTCAGTTCATGATCTCACCGTTCACAAGTTTCAGCCCCGCGTTGGGCTCCTCACTGACAGTGTGGAGCCTGTTTGGGATTCTCTCTCTCCCTCTCTCTGCCCCTCCCCAACTCACAGCCTTCCTCTCCCAAAATAAATACATAAACTTAAGAAAAAATAAAATTTAATGTGGGAAATGGGGTGCCTGGCTGGCTTAGTCAGTCGAGCATGCAACCCAATCTCAGGGCTGTGAGTTCAAGATCCACGCTGGGCACGGAACCTACTTAAGAAAAAGTTGTTAAATTTTACCTTGGGAAAACATAGAACTCTCCTCTATGCCTCTGGGGGGAAGTAGGCTGTAAGGAGCTGGTAGAAGAGGGACAGGCTGCAGGCGGCCAACAATGGCAGCTCAGGACACATTTGAGCTGGCCTAGAGCCTGGTGTGAGCACAGAAGGGACTTCTAGAAATCTGGCAGCTTCAGGACACTTGGGTGTCAGTTTTCCTGTCCTGACTGGGAGCCCCAGAGTGTCTCTGAAATCTAACCTCATGGCAGGGATGAGGAGTTAAGGTAATGGTCCCGGTGAATTAGAACTAAGAGCTCCTATTGTGGATTCCCCTAAATTAAAGGAGTATTAATAATAATGACTCGGGAATTTTTCCTAGAGATATAATTGCAAGCCTGCTTAATGTCTATACATGGCTATTCACTGTAGCATTGTTTGTAACACAAAATTTGGAAGCAATCCCAATGTCTATTGACAGGAAATGAGCTAAATAAATTATGGCAAAGTGGTATAATAATGGCATAAGTGCAGCTGTAGAAAAGAATGAGGATTCTCTCTAAGGACTGGGCAGATCTGCAGATATGTTAAGTGAAACAAATCAAAAGATGCAGAACAGTGATACTGCATTTTTGTGTAAAAAAAGAATAATTATTTAGATATAATTAAGAAGGGCAGTAGTGTGCAGACGGTTCTGGAACTGGGCAGATGGGGGACAAGGATAAAAACAGGTTTCCCAATGTCTACCTTTTTTACACTTTCTAGGTTAAAAATTTTTTAAAAAAATATTTGTTTATATTTGAGAGAGAGACAGAGGGTGAGCAGGGGAGGGGCAGAGAGATGGAGACAGAATCCAAAGCAGCTTCCAGGCTCTGAGTTGTGAGCACGGAGCCAACGTGGGGCTCGAACTCACAAACTGTGAGATCATGACCTGAGCTGAGGCTGGATGCTTAACTGAACGAGCCACGCAGGTGCCCCACACTTCCTAGGTTTTAAACTCAGGTTTAAGAGGTTTGAATGGGGGCACTCTCTCTCTCAAAAACAAAAAATGTTTGAATGTGTTCATAATCAAAATATCAAATTTCAAATTCTGAAAAGACAAGAACGGAGTTACACATCTGTATCACCGAATACTCAGCCATTACATTAAGGAAACTGCTAAGTGTGACTACATTTCTGTTGGGGGCTGGAACAGGAGGGAACACAAACTTTTTGCCATAGACCTTCTTGTACCATTTGTATCACACTGCACTTTTTGCCACATGATTGTTCTCTTATCATTGCCAAGTGTTTATTAGGACAGTATATGGAAGGTTTCTAGGTATCAGGCATTGTTCAAGCATATGGCCTCTAGGCCCAGCCTTGCCTGGGTTTGAATCCCTGCTCCTCCAACTTAGTATTATTTTAGACAAGTTACTTAGCCTCTCCGTGTCTTGATTTTCTCACCTATAAAATGGGGATAACATTGTAACCAGATGCTTTATTAGGTGGCTGTGAACTGAAGCACATACTCACATCCACACACACCCAGTGTACGTACGTATACAGACCTAACAAATAAAACACATAAAACAGCACGTTGCAGGCATGTGTAAGCAAACACTTAAGACCTACTTTAGTCTTCACACAAAGGTAGGAGGAAGGAAGTAAAACAGACATTGGGGTTTGCTGCCTAGAATCCATCTGCCTTTCTCCTGATACCCCAAATCTCCTTGAGGAATCACCTGGCTCCTTCTCAGCTCATGTGCCCTGGCTGGGGGTCCATTCAGGGCCCAGAAGCTGAGGAGCTAACCTACGCCGACTGGCACATCACATTCTCCATGCCTCATGGACTGGTTTGGAGAGGAAAATGTGGCTAATCGGGCTCCGTCAGAGTTCGTCTTCAGACACAACCGAGGCTCTGTGATGTTAGAGCTGTCTTACAAACAGGTCGCAGACACGAGATGCTGCTATCCTTTCTCCCTCTTGTATGTAGTGATAAAAATTTTTAACCAGCCTCATGGCTGCCAAGTTAAAAAAAAAATTATGTTTAGGGGCGCGTGGGTGGCTCAGTTGGTTAAGCGTCTGACTTTGGCTCAGGTTATAATCTCAGTTTGTGAGTTTAAGCCCTGTGTCAGGCTCTGTGCTGACAGCTCAGAGCCTGGAGCCTGCTTCGGATTCTGTGTCTCCCTCTCTCTCTGCCCCTCCCCTGCTTACTCTCTGTCTCTCTCTCTCAAAAATAAATAACATTAAAGTTAAAAAACAACAACAACACTACATTTTCCAGACTCCCTTGTAGCTTGGCATGGCCATAAGGCAAGTGTTCTGGCCAGCGAGCTACGGGTGGAAATGAAAGTATAACTTTTAAGTCAGGCCCGTAAGAAGGAGTGTCCCGTCCCCTTCCCTCTACCCTCCTTCCTCTTCTGGCTGAAGTGTGGATGGTCTATGAGCCACCGTGCACCATGTGGACAAGAGCAAAATCTAGGGACACCAGGACGCTTGAGATATGGGAAAAGCTCTTTAGCCCTGGACTGCCACCTCCATGTGGGATAAGCACTGTCATTTCTTTTGTCTGGTAGAGAGTCCCGCCCTCCATCTACTCGACACAGAGTCTCTGCAGAAAGAGTAGCCAGCATTGAGAAGCGTGGAACAGAAAGTCAAAGGGACAGAAAGAAAAATCAGGTCTTGGTGACATGATTTTGGCCCCTGCATTAGGCAGGGCTTAAGCCAGCTTTGGTCACATTTCTGTTCCTTACAGTTAAGACTGGAGTAGCATCTCTACCTTAGGGGTGAGGAAATGGAAGCTCAAAGAGGTGCAGTAACTTGGCCATGGTGACGCCAGCTGGGCAGGAGAAAGAACTAGGTTAAGTGGCAACACTGGGAAGGAATCAGGTAAGCCTGACCCCAAACACACTGCCCCCCTCTGTGGAGGGTCTGGCTCCTCTGGGAAAGCCCCCCCTGCCACAGAGAGCCAGTCAGTGATCATCTCGCCAAGACCCTCTCACTAGCCATGGGTTGTGCGGCAGGCCCCACAGCCAGGCCTGGAGGAAGGGGACCCTGGGAGCGAGAGGGAACTCAGGCGCGGAGCCTTGAGCTTGGCCTGTAGCAACTCACCCCAGCACACGCTCGGCAATCACGTCCACCTTCTCCGAGATGGCGCCCAGCTGCGCTCGGCTCACGGCAGGGCGAGTCCACAGGTAGGAATGTGCCGGGGAGACCAAATCCCGCAGGCGGCAGATGTGACCCTGGGGGAAGAGGCAGTTGCTGAAGACACTGCGGACGGGGCTCTGACACACTGGAACAGGGAAGAAGGGGCCGCCACCCACTCCCGCAGTCTCTGGGGCTCCCCGATGCCACACCTGCCTCAGCAGGATGATCCTCTCCACGTAGGCTGGGTCCAGGACATCCCTGTCTTGCAGCTGGCTGCCCAACGTCTCCTCCACCAGGGCCTGCAGCTTCCCCACCAGCTGGCGTCTCTGGGTCTCACTGCTCACCAACCGCCGCAGGTGCAGCCTATAAGAGAAGCCAAGGGACTGTCCTGCCACTGGCATTCCCAGCCGCCCCAAACCCTCTCCCGAGGGGAGCAGGCAGGGTCTGAAGAATGATACATCATATGAGCCGTACCTCCTGCAGCCCAGAAACAGATTATACAGGAAAGGGATCTGGCCAAGGTCTAAGTCAGCCCAAGAGCTCCAGGCAACTCAGATACCCTGTTGTCAGTGTTTCTAACATAGTAGCTAGCATTTTAAACTAGGAAGGAATCATATAAAAATAGAGATATCTGGTTTCTCTTGGGAAGTCAGAAGATCTGGCTGCAAAGGGCCCTCGTGCCCCACACTTCAATGACGGGAGCAGAGTGGAGGCTGCCTGGTTTGCAGGCACGGAGCGCTCCAGTTTGCCAGGGCCTCTGCTCCCCAGTGCCACTCCCCAGGCCTGCTGCCCTCCCCTGTGCTGGCTGCCTGGCCTCAACAGGTACTTGACTTTACAACGCATAATCTACAAGTGTCTGCTTCCTTGCAAAGCTTCAAGCATGAGGCTCTGGCAAAAAAAGGCAGAGATCAAGAACATGGATTTATAGAATCTGAAGTCCAGAGCGCAGAGCTGTTTGAATCCAGGGCTCACAGTCAAGAAGTTCAGATTTTCTTGTAGGTTCAATGTTCTTTCCGGAATTCTTCTAACTTCCTTTTTCCCTGTCTTTGGAAGTAGCAAAGCTTCTACCGAGTCCTCAGTCCCCTCCCTGTGCTGCCCTGGCATGGAAGGAAGGCAGGTGGCAGCAGTGGGGGCGTATCTTCTGGGCTCTGGAATTGGGACAAGCCTGAGAATCAGGCCAGCGCTGTGAGAGGAGGTCTGCGGCAAGTTACATGTTTGTCCAGAGCCTGAGGAGGCTCACATACACTGTAGGAACAAGTGGGGGCCTCTGTCACAGGGCGGGTGCTGTGCAGACTACATGAGAACTGTCTGGAAAGCACAGAGCAGAAGGCAGCTGGGGGCAGGCAGGGTGTCAGGACTGAGGCTTCCGCACATCAGGCGTGGAAGGATGGGACCCTCTGCGAAGCTCTCTGGAGCACTCACTGCCCCAAAACATAACAATTTTCTTAAAAAAGAATTAACAGCACGTGCTGAAAGTGTCCCCAGGCCTCCTCAGCAGCGAGGGGAGACAGTAAAGAGAAAGCGATCAGGAGACCCTAGTAGCCACATCTGAGATAATATGCAGAAGGTCCAGCGCCTGGGAGACAGGAAGCGCCAAATAAACATCACTTACCATCACTACTTCCACCACGCTCGTGGTGCTGCTCTGACAGCCACTACTGCTGCCTTTACTACTATTACTGAAATAATCACAGCAGTGGCTTGATGCCAGAAACACTCCAGTTAATTTAAACGTTAACTGCTTCAGCTGTGTTAGTGGCGGTCCCAATATTGCATCTCCTCTCGGATCCACACTGAGCAAAGCCCACCTCTGTCCTCCTCTGGCTACCCTCGTGCTTCGGGGAGGAGTGGAATGGGTCATAAAGTATTTCCCCGCCCTGCCCCATTTCCTTGATTCCCTATAATCAGAAAGGTAGGGTCCGAGTTGTGCTCGCTCGTGAGTACCCCTTTCAAGGGATGCCGGGCATTCGCTCTGTGAACAGGCCGGTTATGGAATACTGCCCTACGTGTTGGTTTCCTCCTATGCAAAATAGAGCAAAGTCAGACAACTAACATGATGTCTAATGCGAGATAAATGAAGTAACAACATTCAACACCTGTGGTCAATGCGAATTCTCTGGGCTCATGTAAGTAAAGCATAGAGGAGAGCCTGTCCCCTAACCAGTGCTCAAGAGACGGCATCAATGAGTCCCTTGTCCCTTAAGTACATATCTGTCTGCTGGCTTTACCACCAAGGCCCTTAGATGGAATGTCAACAGTGATCTAAACTGTAACTGGCTTTAGAGGTCTGAGTGAAGAGCTACGTGAAATGTAAAACAGGTGTCCTGAGACAGTGCCCAGTCACTGTGCTGGTTTGGGGTGGGGGGAGGTTAATTCCAAGGTGAAGATGCCCCATTTCTCCAGGTCATGGCTAACAAAATCCATGCAAGGGACAGCCAGGAATAATGGTGATGACAGAAACAGTACCTACCATTTACTGAACACTTTCTATGTGCCAGGGGGTGTGTACAGTACCTTGATGCAGCATTTAATTTAACTGAACTCCTACAACTATTGCACAGTGTAGGTACTGTTATTAGCTCCATTTTTGAGAGGAGAAAACACAGGCTCCAGGAGGTTAGGTGACTTACATGCTTTGCGTTCACAGACCATTAGGTACCTGAGCCCACAGTAAAAATCAGGTCTGTGTGACTTCAAAGCCCACTAGACCCTCTGCCATGGGCACCCATCATCAGCAAGAAAGCCCTTTTCTACCAGCACCGCTCCCCCCGCCCCCCAGGTCCCCACTCACCTATTGAATTCCGGGAGCTTCTCCAAGTCCAACAGGGCTGAGTGGCAGGTGACCCGGGTCAGGTCAAACTGTGTTATCAACTCTGGCAGGGTCCTGCCCATCTGGTTCTCTGCAAGGAGGCAGGCCCAGCCTCAGCCCTCTCCCTCACTTTTCAATCACAGAGGAGGCTGGGTGAGCACATTCTGGGTTCCCCATTCTAATCTGACCCAAAGGATTCAACTTCTAGATCTTTTATATAGATCAAGGGCCTGAAGGAGCTTTCCTTTGCAGAGAGGGTCCTGTCACTCAGGAAAAACAAGTTTGAAAAAAATCGGGCTGGGGCACCTGGGTGGCTCAGTTGATTGAGCGTCTGACTTCAGCTCAGGTCATGGTCTCACGGTTCGTGGGACCCCACATTGGGCTCTGTGCTGACAGCTCAGAGCCTGGAGCCTGCTTTGGATTCTGTGTCTCTGTCTCTCCTCCGCTCATGCTCTCAGTCTCTCTCAAAGTAAATAAATAAACATTAAAAAACTTTTTTGAAAACAATTGGGCTAAACCAACTCTCACTGCAGGAGGATTGCAGGGACAGCACGCTCACTGCCTGGCTGTGCCCCAGAAATTCTGACCCCACTAGTTTGGGATGGGGTCCAAGCATCAGCGTGCTTCCTAAGCTTCCCAGGTGGTTCCAAAGCTCAGGCAGCACTGAGAATCACTGGGCTTGGAGCCGCTTCTCCAGAACAGCAGCCCCGTACCATGTGGTGGGCAGGCATCATGGCCAAGCCTAGACCTAAAGGGAGCCTCTGCTATGTCTCTTACAGACTATGTGACTTTAGCAAGTCATCAAACCTGTCTGAGCCTCATAATCCTCTTATAAGCAGCAGGGATAAGTAATCCTCTTAAGGATACTTTAAGGAGTAAATGAGATAAGAGCAGAGTAAACAGTAAACACACTATCATTGCCACATTTCCAGAAATCCCCTCCATGAAGAGGTCATCCTAATTTGCTGCTTCTTTAAACTTTGGGCTCTAAGTCTTGGGCCAAGGATAAGGGCTCAGCTTGGAAGAAACTAGGGTCATAGCAGCTTTAATAATACTGTCGGAACCCACACTTGCCTTAGTGGGAGTAATATAATTGTAATAATCATAAGATCTACGGTTTTTGTGCGGAATGGCAGGCACTTTGCTGGGTGCCTCATACTCGTGAGCTCAGTGAATCCTAACTTAGCCCTAGACGCTTATCCCTGTTTTACAGAGAGACAGGTAAGGCTCAAAGACCGTAAGCTCCTTGAGTGCAGGGGTTACATCTAGCTTGTTCACTGTTATAACCCCAGCACTTAAACACAATGTCTGGCTCACTAAACTTCTCTTGGAAAAAGAATGAACTTATGCAAGGCCATGCAGCTGGTATATGGCACAGAGTGGGCTGAAGACCAGGTGGGCCTGAACCAAAGCCCCCGCTCCCACTGCTCTGGTCCCACTGTGACCTCCCAGGTGGGCGGGTACCTGCAAACCCCGAGCCACAGTTGGTGATGATGTCCAGCAAGGCGTCCGGCAGGAAGTCGGCAGCAGCAAAATGCTCCAGGAAGATGTCCCCTTGCCTCTTGGACAGCTTGCTGCCATCCTTGTTGAGGAGCAGGGGCAGGTGGGCAAAGCGAGGTGGCTGCCAGCCCAGGGCCTGGTAGAGAAGCAGATGCTTGGAGGTGGAGACGAGCCACTCGGAGCCCCGCAGCACGTGGCTGATGCCCATGTGGTGGTCGTCCACCACACAGGCCAGGTGGTATGTGGGGAAGCCGTCACTCTTCAGGATGACCGGGTCCCCCTCCACACTGGCCACTTCATGCCGATTCCAGCCATACACTAAGTCCTGGAAGGCTGGTGCCTCCCCCTCCAGGCGGAAGCGGATAGTGGGCTTGGGGCCTGTGGCTAGCTTCTGGGCCACTTGCCCCTGGCTCAGGTTCCGGCACCGATTATCATACCTGTTGGGAAGCAGAGCAGCGTAGGAGTTAGGAGTTCCGGAGACAGACTGAATTCCGTCTTTGTCTCTGCCAGGTGGATGATCTTGGCAGGTCACTTACTTCTCTAGCTCTGTTTCCAGTCCTGAACAGGGAGTGAAGCGATATATGGGGAAGCCCAGTGATTGGTAACAGTGTGGCAGACACTTGCGCCTGCTTCCCTGCCAGCCTCTCCCTCTTCTTGCTAAGGAGGAAATAGCAAAATGCCTATGAGTCCCGGAAGTTGAATCACAGCTGGTGTGGCCAATCATGCAGTCCCATTCCCCTGTGCCAGCAACTGGTCCAGGCCAGACCACTCCACTCACTGAGACTCAGAGCAAAGCACATGTGGGGGCCGGGGAGGCTTAGGCTCTGGGGAAAGATTTCCTTTCCAACTGAGAGCAAAGAGCCACAAGAGAAAAATTCCATTTTTATTCTCAGCCTTCCCCCTCCGTGCCCTTCAGATGCTGTCCTACGAGGGCAGAAGGCTTGGAGCCACCGCAGCCACTTGCAACTAACGTGAGGGGGTAGGACAGGGGAGGCACGGAAAAGCCACAATAAAGCGCTGAGATCTTAAAGCTGCTCGTTTTATCCTTGAGTCACCCACCTCCAGACTTGGGCAGAGTAAGTGACAAATGTCTGTGTGGTTTATGCCCTGGCTACTCCAAGTATGGTTTGTGGGCCCCCAGCAGCAGCCTCACCTGGGAGCCAGTCAGATATGCAGCATCTTGGGCCCCAGCCCAGACCTGCTGAATCTGAATCTGTGTGTTAACTAGATCCCCAGGTGAATGGTCTGCATAAAACATGAGAAGCTCGGATTTGTCCCCCACTCTTTTTTTAATTCTTTATTATTATTATTTTAAATTTATTTTTGAGAAAGAGAGAGCGAGCGCACACGCACATGTGCTGGTAAGGGACAGAATGAGAAAGGGACAAATCATTCTCTGCTGACAGCAGAGAGCCCAATGCAGGGCTCGAACTTGTGAATCGAGAGATCATGACCTGCGCCAAAGTCAGCCACTTAACCAACTGAGCCAGCCAGTCGCCTCTACTCTTTATTTTTTAAGTAAACTCTACCACCAATATAGAGCTTGAACTCACGATCCTAAGATTAAGAGTTGCATGCTTCACCCACTAAGCCAGCTGGTGCCCCTCTTAAAAGGGGTGCTCTGTTACTTACTCCCCCAAAGAATCCTGACACAAAAATGTAAAGCTTGAAAACATACTCCTTGACACAGAGCTAAGTGACCAATTAATAAATGGCTGCATGGATTCCACAACAGAACTTGACTGTAATTTTAAAAAATAACCTTCTACCAATGGACAAGTACATGGTTTATAATAAGAAAGTAAAGCTGCAGTGAATGCCATGACCTCATACAAACATCCAGTGCTTGTCCAAACAGCTCACTGAAATTGGAACTCAGCGGAGGGGGAGGGAGGCTATGAGAGTTTGATTCTTGACCTCAAGGATGGGAGTTCAAGCCCCACACGGGGCATGAAGCCTCTCTGAAAAAGGGACGGAGCACCTGGCTGGCTCACCTGGAAAAGCATGTGACTCTTGATCTTGTGGTCATGAGTTTGAGCCCCACGATGGGTGTAGAGATTCCTTAAATAAATGTATACATTTTTTGTTTTAATTTCTTTAAAAAATAAATAAGGAAGTAAGTAAACTGGAACTCAAGATGTCCTGATGGAAAGTACTGCCGATGGAAAGATGGTGGTCAAGGGCCACAGGGCAGTATTGATCTAAGCTCCAAACTGGTCCTGCAATTCCTCATCTGGGAAGATCTCCAACAAACGCCCTGCACACGTGCACAGCAACGTCTGTCAACACGATCCATCCCAGCTCTTTCGTTCTAACTACAGATTAGAAACGGCATCAAGTCTCATTAGTAAGAAGCTGGTTAAGGGGTGGTACATCTGTATGGTGGGAAACCATGCAAGCATAAGAAAAATGTGTGGGTTTGTACAGACATCCTCAAGATGGTAAGTGGGAGCAGTAAGCTGCACAATCTGTGTATCGTGTGCTGCCACTGGCTGGGGAAGAGAAACAGGATGCATTTATCAGGGTCTGCGTTGAGTGTCTCTGGAGAAGACCTAAGAAAATTCTAGGGGCACCTGGGTGGATCGGTCAGTTAAGCCTTTGACTTCAGCTCAGGTCACGATCTCACGGTTCATCAGTTTGAAGCCCACATTGAGGTCTCTACTGTAAACACAGGGCCTGCTTTGGATCCTCCGTCCCCTTCTCTCTCTGGCCCTCCCCATCTCGCTTGCGCGCTCTCTCTCTCTCTCTCTCAAAAATAAACATATGGGCGCCTGGGTGACTCAGCTGGTTAAGCATCCGACTTCGGTTCAGGTCATGATCTCACGGTTTGTGGGTTCGAGCCCCATGTTGGGCTCTGTGCTGACAGCATGGAGCCTGGAGCCTGCTTCGGATTCTGTGTGTCTCTCTCTCTGCCCCTTCCCTGCTTGTGCTCTGTCTCTGTCTCTCTCAAAAATAAACATTAAAAATTTTTAAAAATAAACATTAAAAAAAGAAAGAAAGAAAATTCTAAATGCTGTTATTTATGGAAAGGGAAATTGAGGGGCCAGAGTCAGTGTTAGGAGAGATCTTTGCATACATTATCTCTCTGGCCCTGAAAAAACTTTACTTACTCAGAATAACAAATACTTGAAATTACTTTACACGTTACTACTGCCCGAGAGCCAGCATGGTAGGCAGCTCTGACACGGCCCCGGTGATCCCAGCCTCTGGTGTTTCTGCCCGTGTCATCCCCTCCCTGGAGTGTGGGGCTGGACCTAGTGACTTTCTTCTTGGGAACAGAATGAGCAGAAGTGACAAGATGTTGCTTCCTCTATTCAGTTACAAAAAGACTGGCTTCTGTCTCGCTTGCCCTCTTTTGCTTTCTGTCCTCCTTGCCCACGGCGAGGCCAGCTGCTATGCCGTGAGCTGCGCTGTGGACAGGCCCACATGGCAAGAGCTGGTGTCTCTGGACAACAGCCGGCGCGGCCCAAGGTCTGCCAGCAGCCTCATGAGAGAAATGGAGGCGGATCCTCTGCAAGCCCAGCGCTGAGAAAGCCACGAGCCTGGCCCAGACCCCGACTGCAGCTTTGAGAGGCACTCTGAGCCGAGGGAGCCAGCCAAGCTGTGCCCAGACTCCTGACCACAGAGGCCGTGCAGGGACCATGGTTTGGGGGGAAACCTGTCACGCAGCAAGAGCTGAGGAACACACGCGACTCCGGGGAAGCAGCCGCGACGGGCTGGGGCTCTCACCGGGGCGTCTGGTGGTTCCTCAGGGCCTCCTTCTTCAGGAGCTCCAGGCGCTGCGGCGAGCAGAAGCAGCGGTAAGCGGCGCCGGACTCCAGCAGCGCCTCCGTGGCCTGGGCATACAGCTCCAGTCGCTGCGACTGCTGGTACGGCCCCGCCGGACCTCCCCGGCGGGGGCTCTCGTCAGGGCCGATGCCTGTGGCACAGCAGGAGAGAATGCTCACCAAATACCGATAAGGAACATGCTGACAGCACCGGCTCCCCTGCCCTGTTCTGTGTGCTTTATGCATGTGGTAAAGCTTTTAATCCTCACCACAATCCTCAAGGTCGTTCTCGATTTCCCTATTATAGGTGACAAGGTGAAAGAGAGGGTAAGTGCTCAAGGTTGTGAGGCCTGAAGGATAAGGACTCACGGGGCTGTACCGCCTCCATAGTCCACGCTCTCAACCGCACTTCCTCTCCAGCTGTCCTTTCCCTGGAAGAGCTGGCTCAAGGGAACGAAGTATGGTTCAGGGCATAGCCCTGGCTGGACGCCTGCTTCCGTGCCTGAGACGCTGTGACAAGGGATCCTGAAGACATCAGGGCTTCAGGGCCAAGCACCTGGCAGGCAGCTCTGATGTCCCATGACATCCCCCATGCCTCAGAACCGCCCTACCAGGTAGATGCCATTGTGACCCCCATTCGGTGTGGACACTGAGGCACAGAGGGTGTCTGTTACATCACTTGGCCAACACCAAGCGGTACAACCGCATTCAAACCCAGGCTAGCGGGCCAGAGAATCCATGCTTTTTGCCACTGATTGTACTGCCTCAGCTTCCTTCCCTACAAAGCGGAGCTATGCTCTATCACATGGAGCAGCTGCAAGAACGGGACCGGTTTGTACTTTCAAAGTGCTCTGCCCGAGGCGCGCACACACAGAACCACAGCAACGGGTGCTGCTAAATGAAATGGGCTCTGCTGCAAGCCACAGCTCCAACCCAAGGTCTGGCTTCCTCAGGTCACAAAGGACGGATCTGACCAACACACACTTCCCATAGAGACAGAGAGAGGGGACACGGAAGAGCCGGATGGTGGGGTTTCTGCCCTCAAATAGCTTTCAATAAAAACCACGGATATGTTGACTTCAAAATGGTGACTTTCGTATCAGGTGAATTATATGTCAATTACACACAAAGAGGGTGACTCCTAGATCAGGAAGCCACAGAAGCCAGCCACGGCTCTGCCTCCCCACCATGCCAGGGAGGAGGCTGCGCTGAGGGGCCGCAGGCCTCACTCATGCAATCGTGCCACACCAGGGGCTCCAAGGGTAGGACTCGTTCACCTCTGGACCTCTTGTTCAGACAGTGGCTGATATGTAGCAGGTGCTCCGTGAAATCCAAGTCCTCATCCCGGCCTGCCTGGCACTGCATGGTTCAGCTCCGGACAGCCTCTGTCGCTTAATCTCCAGTCCCTCCGCTTGTCACTGTGTTTGGGCCACAGTGGCCTCTTTGCTGCTCCTCTAATACACCCTATGCTTTCCTTCAGCAGGGCCTTCACATCTGCTATTCCCTCTTTTTTCTTTAAAAAAATTTTTTTTAACCTTTATTTTTGAGACAGAGACACACACACACAAAATGTGAATAGGGGAGGAACAGAGAGAGAAAGAGACACAGAATCCAAAGCAGGGTCCAGGCTCTGAGCTGTCTGCACAGAGCCAAACGCGGGGCTCAAACTCATGAACTGTGAGATCACGACCTGAGCCAAAGTCAGATGCTTAATCTATTGAGCCACCCAGGTACCCCGCATTTAAATTTTTTTAAGTTTATTTATTTTGAGAGAGACAAAGACAGCACAAGTAGGGGAAGGGCGGAGAGGGAGAGGGAGGGGGGTGAGGGAGAAAGAGAGAAAGAGAGAGAGAGAGAGAGAGAGAGAGAGAGAGAGAGAATCCCAAGCAGGCTCGAAGCTGCCAGGGCAGAGCCCTATGTGGGGTTTGAACTCATGAAACCATGAGATCATGACCTGAGCTGAAACCAAGAGTTGGATGCTTAACCTACTGAGCCACCCAGATGCCCTGCCTCAGCTTTGAACAGTCCGCACAAGTAACCACAGGGCTGGCCCCTCACTTTATGGGATCCCTGCTTTAATGTCACCTCCTCAGAGAAGACCATCCTGTCTAAAACAGCATCCCTCCGTGCCAGTTCCCTAACCTATTAACGTTTTCTCCACAGCACACATCAGCACTTAACATCAGGGGTGAACATGAGCTAATTTATCTATCTTCCAGTTACTGAGGACAGAGTCTCTGTTCGATGCTGAAACATGACCTAAATTATAATAAGTGAGCTCCTTGAATGAATTCCTTTGCTCAACTAATCGTCTGCCATAAAGTTCTACAATAGAAGGTGGAAATGAAATCAGTTTCTGCCCTTTGGGAACCCAGAGTCTAGTTAATACGTTACGAGGAATAAAATACACATCTCATAAAAGTCATGGTATTTTTGGTATTCTTCCTTGGAGAGCTTAACTGGTTCCACCTGTCCTGACAGGTAGGCAATTGCTGACCCAGGGAACACAAACACACGCCTCCTTGTCTTCTGGGGTTTAGCGGTCCTCCAAAGTAAACGTCCCACAAGGAGACTGACTTTAGAGGCTGTACACATTTTGTTTGGCTCACACAGTGTGGTTTAAAAAAAAAAAATCTGAGGTCACGTTTAACAATGACAAGCATTCATTAAAAAAAAAAAAAAGTAACAAAAACCTGAATTTCTGGCTCCTCTTGGAAGTCAGAAGGCTGGACAAGCCGGGCCAGCATTCCCACATGGGAACAAGGGGCTGGAGCTTTCTCCTGCTCGCCACAGGCCTAGCCTCTCCCACTCCATCTCATGCTTGGCCTGTGTTTCCCATCAGTTCCCAGTGGCACCTGACATTCTAAGATGAGAACACGAACCTCAAAACAGCCTCAGAGCTTTTCTTCAGCATCTTTCTGGAGGGGGAGGGCACATGCCTCCTGAGGCAGCACAAATATACCCATCCCTCCAGGAACTCCTCATTGTCCAGCTTGGGCCCCGTGAGACCTACTGGCTCCTTTCCCTGCTCCCACTCCCCCCTCGGAGAAGGGTTTCTTCCCTGCCCGCCTCACCTGCCCACTCTAGCATGTCCTCAATATTCTCCGCTGCTCCGGGCACAAGACGGGTCTGATCCGTGTCTTCGAGCCTGAGGATGAAGCTCCCCTGGTGCTTCCTGGCAAAGATGTAGTTGTATAAGGCAGTGCGCAGGCCACCCAGATGCAAGAAGCCTAGTGAAAGAAGAGAACGGTTCAGACAAGACGGGGAAGATGAAGTGACATGCCTCCACCAGGGGCAAGTGAGCCCCGCTTGTACCAGGATGTCCCAGCAAATATCAAAGCTTAGGACATAGCTACTCCCGTCCCATCCTTCCGGCCAGCACCAGGACACCCAGACTGCCACAAAATGTGTCAGGGGTGCTCAATCCGTTTAGGCCCCCATCCTGGAAATAGAAGACCACCCGTTTTAGAGCATGAAATTTTGTAAAGAAATAAAAAAATGGGGGCGCCTGGGTGGCTTAGTCGGTTAAGTGTCTGACTTTCACTTAGGTCATGATCTCGCGGTTTGTGGGTTCGAGCCCCGCGTCCGGCTCTGTGCTGACTGCCAGCCCAGAGCCCGGAGCCTATTTCAGAGTCTATCTCCCTCTCTCTCTGACCCTCCCCTGCTCACGCTGTCTCTCTCTCTCACTCTCCTAGAAATAAATAAAAATATTAAAAAAAAAAAACTTAAAAATAAATAAATAAATAAATGGAAAAAAAAGACTCCAACTCTTCCTAACTGTACCCACTGTTCTACTTAGATTTGCCTCAAGGCCAAGTTTTACCCAAACGAGGACAGAGGATTATCCACTGAAGCCATATCCAACATCCACTTAACATGTACAAATTCAATGATGTGCTTGGGTAAAAAAAAAGCAATAATTACACGTTAAAGATACTGTGCAATTACATTCTGCATATACTCTTATGGTTTTCCCCTTTTTAGCTTTAAATACTAATCACAAGTAATATTTGATTCCATTATTCTTTCTTTGCACCCAGGCTTAAACTCCAAAGGCTTTACCTTTCCATCATTCCTGACTGAAGGCTTAAAACGAAGCATTTTCCCATTTCCCCTTACCCTACCTTCATTGGTCCAGGCCATGGCCCTGTCTCCATAATGAGCTTTTCTGCATCTACAGGTTGAGGCAGAATGGGACACAAAAGACTCTTCGAGTCAGGCAGACTCCTTCAACACTGATTATGTGTGACCTTGAGCTAGTTATCACAAGGCCACCACAAAACCGGTGGTCCCCAAGACAGAAGACAGGGGTCCAGCAGTTGAAAGCAAGACCTAAATCAAATCAACCTGCATTTAAATTCTGCACCCACCATTTATCAGTTGCTATCCCTTGTGCACTTTACTTCATGTGTATGAGCTTCAATCCCCTTATCTGTTAGGATTAAAAAAAAAAAAGAAACCTTCCTTATAGGGTTGTTGTGACCTAAATGCTGATCAAAATATACCCTTCACTTAATTTTAGCTATTAGTGATCTATGTTGCCTGATAAATCTTTTATCTGTCTGTAGTCAGCAGCCCTTTTTCTGTATGGGCTTTTCCTGCAAATCAGAAAAGAAAGGAGAACTATAATCATAACGGGGAATGTTGTTTATTAAGCACTGAGTACCAGACCTTGCTAAGTGCCTCAGTTGCATCAGCTCAAACCCATGAGGCAGGAACTATTATTTGCCCTGTTTGACAGAGGGTAAAACTCAGAAGCTCAGAAAGGTTATGCAATTTGCCCATGTCACACAGCTAACAAGTGGCAAAGCTGGCAATCTGGACCCAGCCAACCTCAGACCCTGCCTCTCAACCACTATTTGAGCGCCGTGCAAAGCCAGGTGCAGACACTTGCTGGTCTGGAAACTGCTGCCAGTTCATAACCAATTAAGTACAGAAAGTGAGAATAAGTATTTAGAAACTTAACAATTTGACAGAATAATTTTGTATCTGGTAAATTCAATAGAAGTAGGCTCACATGTTGTATGGTTTTAATACCTGTTCTTTTTAGTAACTCATTCCTATTGGTTCTATAAAAATACTGATCCATAATCAATTGGAAATTAAAAACCAGTTCTGTCGCAATGGCTTCCGAGGCCCGCTCTACACTCTGCTGCCTGCCAGGAAAGACGCTGTCACTGTGCAGCTGGGATCTTACCACAAAAGCTTACATGTGGACCCAAAGGTTCTGACTGAGAGGCATGCTCAGGGTGGAGAGGGCAGAAGTTAGCCTCCATGAGAGGAAAAACAAAAAAAACACAAAAAACACAAAAACAGGAAATACAGGGGACACCCTGACAAAGCTCTCCACGAGGGTATAAGGAAGAGCCTCTGCCTAACTCTCTGGCTTGCCGAGCGCCAACACTAACCACAGGGCCTCTGTACCTGCCATCTCCTCTGCCTAAAATCCTCATACAGACTTTATATATAGACTTCACATACGTAGCGAGCTGCTTCTTGTGTTCTGGTTCTCAACTCAAACGCTCCGTCCTCAACAAGACCTTTCTCGAGCTTCCTAATAATCCCCAGGTCCCTTCTCTACTTCACCTGTCTTGTGGCACATGTGACTCAATCTACAGTTATTTTTACACGTGTTTGTCCCGATTATAACGTATACTATAGGGCAGGCTTCTTGAGAACAGGACCCAAACGTTCCTGGGGACCACGGCATTCAATGCCTAGAACAGCACCTGACACACAGTTTGTACCCGATACACGTTTATTAAATACATGAAAAACGGGCCGAAAGAAATGATACAGTACAATAAACACAAAAAACTTCCCGACAAAGTGAATAAGTTTCGCTCGTGGGCCTACTCCTGCCCCTGTAAAATAAGGTCGCGCTGCCTGCCCAGTCTGACTCGACCGGAAGGGATTCGTTCGGGAATATTCGGGGGGCGGGCACGGTACGGTGGACCTCGACCTGCAGCGTCACGTCCGCCCAGGTTACCTGTGGGGCTGGGGGCGAACCGCACCCGCACTGCAGCCCCGGGATCAATGCCCAGGCTGGCCTCGCGCCGTCCCACGGAGCGGCCCAAGGCCGCGACGGGCCTCGCGGACGGCAGCAGCCTCTTCAGGAGAACCGCCATGTGAGCTGGAACCGCACACGTGGGCTTCTCGGTGCATCACTTCCGGGGACCCTTCCCAGCCAATCCGCGTCTGCCACAGAGGGAGCATCCCCGCCCCTTAAAGGCGCAGGCCTCCTAGCTTTCAAGCCCATACTCCCCAACGCCTCTCCAGCCCCATGTGGCCTCTAGGGGGCAGAGCCCATCGAGGGGGCGATTTCCCGGACCCGCCCCCCTCGGCTCCCGAAAGCTAAAGCGTGGCAGGGGCCGGGCTGGGGAAGCGGAGGAGGCGGGTCTCCATAGAAACGTCCACCTGTTTCCGGCCAGGCTGTGCGAGATTAGGGGCTGCTGCGGGGGCCAATCTCAGCTAGCTAGTCTTTTCCCGGCGGCCTCTGCGGGAGCGGTGGGTGTTGTACACAATCATCATGGCGGCTGCCGGAGCCCCGGATGGTGAGTGTGGCGGGGGTGGCGGGGGTGGCGGGCGCCCGGGTTGGGCCCAAGTGAAGCGGGCCTCCGGGAGGGATGCGCCCCGGTCCGGTGCGGAGTAGTCTGGCTTGGGAGCGGAGGTCCGGCAGCGCCCGAGCACGGTTCGGTCCCAGGCCCAGACTGCGGCGAGCGCCCACCCCCTAACCCCCTTGCAGGCATGGAGGAACCTGGCATGGACACGGAGGCCGAGACGGTGGCGACCGAGGCCCCCGCGCGGCCCCTAAACTGTTTGGAGGCCGAAGTCGCGGCGGGGGCGGCGGCGGCCGAGGAGTCCTGCGCCGCGCGAGGCAGCTTGCAGCCGGCCCCGGCCCAGCCCCCTGGGGACCCCGCGGCCCAGGCCTCGGTCAGCAACGGCGAGGACGCGGGCGGTGGCGTGGGCAAGGAGCTGGTGGACCTGAAGATCATCTGGAACAAGACTAAGCACGACGTGAAGTTCCCCCTGGATAGCACAGGCTCCGAGCTAAAACAGAAGATTCACTCGATTACAGGTAATCGTCGTGGCACTCACTGTCAGCGACAGCCAGCCTCCCTCATCCCGCCTGCCGATTCCTAGTGCTTGCACTGTGCTAAACCCAGGGCTAGCCACTCTTTCTGCATCTGGATCTCCCTCTATGCTTAGAATAGTTATCCAGAGCAGGTACTAATATGCCCATTGTTAAGATGGGGGAAAATGGGACCCACAATCGTAGAGCTAGAAAGTATTTGAGCTGAGATTCAGGCCCAGGTCTGACCCTTAGGCCCAAGCTTCCAAGCAGTGTTGCTGGAAACATCTCTTATGAAAATCGTCTGAGGTACATGTTAAATTTATAGCTCCTAGGCCTTTTCCCCTAGAGGGTTTGATTCAGTGGATCTGGAATGCGTCCAGAAGTTTATTTTTAGCAAATACCTTGGGTAATTCTCACAAGGGAAATTTAGGAAACATTGCTATTCACTATCAATGCTGGCCTCTTTATAGATCTCATTTAGATTTTAGTTTTGTCTTGTTTACAGCACTTTGTCAATAGAAATGATTTCTTTTTCAAAGTTTTCTCCAATAGCCTGAAGTTTCTAAAAACGACTTAGTCCTTGTTGGTTTCTGTATCTCAAAGGCCTATAGTCTTTCACTTAGTATTTGTGTGAGTAGAAGGGTTGGGGAAAAGGTTGGAATGAATGATAGCTAATACTCGATTGAACAATTATTGAATATCAGAGGATGCAATAAATGTTCTGTTTGTTTTACTTTTAATTCTTAAAAGAAGTCCAGGCAGAAGGAACTACTGCCATCACAATTATAAACTTTGGGAAACAGACTCAGAGAGGTTGTGAGTTGCCTGAGCGCACAAAGATGGTGGAGTATTCATTTCCAGGTCTGTTGCCACACAGCCCTGGTCCAGGTACATTTTTCATCCCTTCCTTTCACTTTCTCCTCCTACCTTTTCCCAAGGTCTCCCTCCTGCCATGCAAAAAGTCATGTACAAGGGACTCGTCCCTGAGGATAAGACGTTGAGAGAAATAAAAGTGACCAGCGGAGCCAAGATCATGGTGGTTGGCTCCACGATAAATGATGTTTTAGCCGTAAACACACCCAAAGATGCTGCCCAGCAAGACGCAAAGGCTGAAGAGAACAAGAAGGAGCCGCTCTGCAGGCAGAAAGTGAGTGTGTTATGTGATTGCTCGTCCTGGGAAGTTTGAGGCTTTGTCCTCTGGAGCCTTGGCTGGTGATATTCTCCCTAGAATAAGCTCCTTTTCGGACAGGGCCCATGATGGAAATTTATGGCAGCAGTTGGGTGCCGCTGGCTGTTGAGTGGAGGTGACAACCACCTGAGATTTGCAACTTTGTCTCATCTGGCGGGTCAGTGTGTCTCAAGTCTACTTACTTTAGGATAAGGCCTTTGGAAGGCCAGGTATTGAAAGGAATCAGTTGTGGGTTTCTCTTCTCTATTCAGTGCCAGAGAAAAATGCCACTGTTGGAATGAACCCCCTGTTTTGTATAAGTGCTTACATTTGTTTTTTGGTTTGTGGCTTCCCTCAAGTCAACAAGCCGTTTCTGGATAGGCGCAGAACTCAACAGAGGTTCCTCTAAAACTGACTTTTTCAGGAAGCCAAACAAAGCTGACTAGGAACATAACTACATTGGCTTTGGGTTTTTTCCCTCCTGGGCCATGAAACGGGGGCCTGATTTTTTACTTTCTTTGTTGCCCATGTTCGTTGGAAGAGATCCAGCCTTGTTTTGTGCTCATTGTAGCCACTAAAATTCTTTTTGTAATTAGGGAGAGTGAGAGTATTTCCCTGGAGAGGGGGTTGGGTGGAAGAACCGTCACTTGCAGCCTTACTGTCCAGCAAACCCACTCATTGTCCTGATTGTCCTGGAGCCTCTTGGCCACTCGTCCCAGCAAAACAGATATTCTCAACTTAACCCGTGTCCTGAGTAGAGTAGACCAGTTTGAACCAAGATTAGTTTTAGCGACCATGCACCAAGGCATGTGGATCATAGTGTGAGGAGACAATTTTGTGTACCAGATCCCTAATCCTCTGTATGTGCTTCTAAAAGCTGACCAGGCATCTAAACTAGACCAGAATTACTGTGAACATTCATGTTTTGCCATAGAAATATTCATGTGTTCGGTGACCAGCTGCTGCCTCAGATCCTACAGAGGATAACGTAACACACAAAAAAAATTTTTTTAATGCTTATTTAATTTTGAGAGAGAGAGAGTGGGGGAGGGGCCGAGAGAGAGAGGGAGACCTAGAATCCAAAGCAGTCTCCAGGCTCTGAGCTGTCAGCGCAGAGCCCGACGAACTCATGAATTCTGAGTTCATGACCTGAGCTGAAACCAAGAGTCAGTCAGACACTTAACCACCTGAGCTACCCAGGCATCCCCTGTGTAACATATTTTTAAATTATATTGCTTTTATAAAGCCTGTTAGACTTTTGGGTTTATAAAAATTTAAAACACCTGTCTATGGGGTTTTAGCTAAGGAGTCGTAAATCTGTGTTTACACTTAAATGGTGTTTGCTTGGACGTTTTCACCCTCAAATATGAGATCAAAATGTAACCAATTGAGTTCTTTTCCGATTGTCTGTCTTCCTCTCCCACATACATGAAATTGTCAAATGGGAGCATGTCAGAAGTGGGTGTTCCCACTGGTTACACCCTTGGAGCATTACACGCTTCTTAAACATAGGTTTTGAGTTACTCATGGTAGTTTAACAGCCTTAGAAGTGTTTTCCTCAGTACACGGAAAATTCTTCCAAAAGGTGCTTATGAGGTAGGAGTCGAATTAAGCTGTTAATCTCTGCTGCTTTGTTCTGCTGATGCTAATTATGAAGCCTGACGTGGCCTAATGAGAGGGAGGGACCCATTCTCCTGGCTTTTTATCAGCTTGTTGAGGAATCTGAGGCCAATTTGTACAGGGACCCTCTGCTAGCAGTCTGGCACTGTTGAGTTTAATCCCTGCAGAGGGTCTCTGCCATGTCAGGGAGGCTTCGAAGTGGCCACCTGGTGCTTCACTTTGGTGGTATTATTTCCCTTCACCCACTTGCTGCTCCACCGTTGCAGCTTTTCCAAATAGTGAGCAAATGACAGCCTATAAAGTCCCAGGTGGAGCGGAAACAAGCTTGGGCATTGGGCTGGTTGAGAGCTGCTTTAGAGAGCCATGAGCCTAAGGAGAACCCTTAACAGGCTGCCTGAAACACCCTGGGGGGCAGGGTCAGGGACTTCTTAATGTCAGTCTGTAGAGCCATCAGCATTTCTCTGGGAAAGGTGGCTCTCCAGGCTTTCTGTTTAGTTGGGGTTAGGGTGGGACAGCCAGGCAGATGCAGGACGCTGAGTTTCCATTTGTTGCAGAAATGCCCGTCTAGGCAGGTAGCTGACTGGTCACCAGTCTCCTGATCAGTTTCTTTGGGAGGTTAAGTTGACAGACATGGCTGTCATTTTGTACTTAACGAGGAGAACACCACCCTTTGTGGTTCTCTCTAGCTTGGTGTTTATTCCTTTCAGTGGCAGTGTTTTTGTCAGAGAAGGGGAGTAGAGTTCACTTGAATTAGCAATCTGGAAACCCTCGTGCTCCAGAGCTCTGGTGGGTAATATATAGCAGCTGCGTAAAATTGATTAAAATTGAGAATTCAGTTCCTCATGTCTACTAGCCACATGTCAAGTGCTTAATAGCCACAAATGTCCTGTGGCTGCTGTTTCAGACCGCACAGATACAGGACATTTCTATCGGAGACATTCCTGCCTCTGCTCTTTAATGTCAAAAGACCCATGATCTGTACGTTAAAAGCTTTTGAGCCAAAATGTCAAGGTTTTTTTTTTTTTTTTTCTCAGAAAGGTAGTGAGATGACTAAATGTAGTCAACTGTTTCATTTAATTATTTCTTCTGACTTATAGCAACACAGGAAAGTGTTGGATAAAGGAAAACCCGAAGATGTGATGCCATCTGTTAAGGGTGCCCAGGTAAGCCAGACTCCTTTGTGAGCATTCCGAGAACGAACCAGGCCCACCTTCTGACTTCCTGAGGTTCCTGTGATCACATCCTCACATCCCGCCCCTTGTCCTCCTGTGTCGCGCCGTGTTTCTGGTCCGTCTCTCACTGTGCTCCCGTGCCTCCAGGAGCGCCTGCCCACGGTACCGTTATCCGGCATGTACAATAAGTCTGGAGGCAAAGTGAGACTCACCTTCAAGCTAGAACAAGACCAGCTGTGGATCGGCACTAAAGGTAGGTTCCTGCTCACGGCCTCCTCCTGGCTCGCCGCCGTGGGCCCTCGGCGGCGCTCGCTCTTGGGTGCGACTGTGCTCCTCCTGAGATCTCTCTCTCTCTCCACTGTGCTTTGCGTGCCCCTGGCTTTTGTCTTTGCTTTTAGATGCTCACCTTCTGTTTGGACCGTTTTCCCTCATTCTTTTCAGTCTTCTGTCAGGGCCAGTCCTTCAACAGTGGCTCTTCCCATGCCCCCAAAACCAGAGGTCCCAAATGTGCGGTCTGAGGGCTGGGCCTGGTCCACAGACCAGGGTTTTTTGGATTTACATATGTTCTGTAAAAATCAAGAGATTTCACTTGATCTCATGTGGGGGTTTTTGGACTTCTCTTGAAAAAAAAAAAAACAAAAAAACAAAAGATGTAGCCATTCTGGACCTGCATTCTCACCTGGCAGCCATCAGCTGGAGACAAATGGTAGTTTCAGATGAGCCTCCGTCCTCACTGCCCCATGTGCCTCCTGTAGAGCCAGCTTTGTTCATGTTTGTCACCTGCCTGGCCCCTGGAGGTCAGCGTTTGTCCCCGCACCAGGTGCATTTCCCTAGTACCGTGGACCTGTCCCCACCCCCCTCACCTGTTTGTGCTCTGCCTGCCTCCACCTCCCCCTGCCTGTGCCTGGTGGGGCGGACTTGCTGCTTGCTGTTGGCTGGGAATTGTTTCTGACTGTCCTCCCCCTGAGTTCCCCCAGATGGTTCAAAGTCTTGTCAGTTACGCTCCAGGATGATCTGTGTCCCTCCCCCCTTTTTTGCCACTCTGTTGTGCCAGTTAGAACTCCTAGCGTCTTTAAACTTGGTTTGTTAAAGCAAGTTCACCTTTCCCTTCCCTGTCTGTGTTCTGTTCTGTCCTGCCCATCTTCCTCACTGGTTCCCATGCTCAAAAACCTATGGCTCTTTCAGGCCAAGTTCAAATGCTTAAACATAGTGTCCAGTGTTGTCCTATTCTGGATCTCGCCTTCTGTCCCGCTTGCCCCATTAATATGCTGAGGGTTTCAGCTGCACCAGCCTGCACTTTCCACCATGCTCTGCACAGCCCTGCGTCTTTGCTCCTAGGGGGCCCTTACCTGGAATGCCTTCTTCCCATTCCTTATTATTAATAACATCTTCTGAGGCCCAGTGAAATGTCCTCCCCTAATGAAGCCTCCCCTGGTGCCCAAACGAATTGCTGCCGCTTCTGTTCATAGAGCGCTCCGTTTACATCCCCAGAGCACTCATTACTCTCTGACTTGTCTGTCCCCGTTAGATTCCTGGAGGGAACCGAACATGCCTAATTCACCTGTTTCTGGCCAGCACTGTAGGTATTCAGTGTTCGAGGTAAATGCTAAAGAGAAGTTTAGGGGTCCCATCACCTGAGGTTACCTGGTTTCAGGGACAGGCCATTTAGTATGACTGCTTAACGTGGGACCACAGCTTAATGAAAATAATCAGCGGGGCGATGGGGAGTGAGGTGTGTTCCCCTTCAGAATGTCAAAACACGTTTTCTTGTTTGTAATCCTGTCCTGGTTCTTAAGGCGAACAAAGACCGAAATGCCAAATGCTTGAGTTTTCTAACAATTTTATGATAGCTTGCTATATATTCTTTATTTCACATTCAACTCTAACTGCATGGTCAAAAGCAGGTTTTGCAGAATACATAAGGGCTCCCCAGTTTTCCCAAGGGCCTCTGGATCCTCTTTAATAGATCCTGCCCTTCCTCCAGAGCCTGTCACAGCATCGGTTTTCTTCCATTGTGAGCTGCCCTGCCTCTGTCACATCCTTACTTGTTCATGACTTAGTAGGTGGTTTTGCTTAGTTCTCCATCATGTGTTGTTGACTTGCCCAGATCCTGCCTCTTCCTCGATTTCCCCTTTCTCTTCTGGGCAGTCCGATTGAAGCAGTTGCTAAGGCTGATGCAGAAAGTCCCTGACAGCCAGGAGGACAGGTGCTGGCAGGGGAGGCTGGCGGAGAACTAAGTCTGCAGGTGCCTGTCGGTGCCTTGGGGAACCCGTGTGAAGAGGCTGTGTAGGAAGGCTGTCCTCACTGGGCCCCTAAGCAGGATGCCTGTACCTGTGTTGGAGGTTTTATATCCGCTCGTAGGAGCAGCTGCTTTCCTGCTTTGTCATGAAGGCAGCACTCTAGAAGAATCTCGGTATGTTGGGGCTTCAGAGCTGTTGGAAGCCTCCTTATTCACCAGCCTGATTTAAGAGTGTGGCCAAGACCCCTGTTTTCACAGGGTGACCAGGGCTCAGCTTTTTACTCTCACCCAGACCACTGCATCGATGTATGTCACGCAGTGTCCTCACTTGCCCAAGAGTCTTGTCATCTGAGTGTCATAAGCAGCCTCCCCTCAGGACAGCTTGTTCTGGGAGTTGGCTACCAGCCGCCGGCTTCATCTTTCCACTGGCGAGCAGCCACCGTGGAGTGACCGTCCCAGCAGCTGGTTGGCCTCTTTGTTGATGGGGTTCGTTCCAGAGTGACGCTCAGGGGCCCCTACGTGCAGCTTAAACTCTCTCTGCGGAAGCCCGTGTAGGAGGCGGTCCTCACGGCTCTGGCCCAGTGGCGGGAAGGATGAGCTTCAGGAAGGAGACATGGGTGGGTGAAGTCGCCAGGGGGGGTGTGTGCCCTGGCCGTAGGGGAGGCCAGTGGGATCGAGCTCATTGCTGTCACTAGGAATGTGGGCCCAGGCTTGACTTTTCAAGAGAAGCCAGAAATGTATCTTTTTGTGTGAAATCTCTGGACATTTCAAGATGGCTGGCATTTGAAAAAGTTTCAGTCTTAAAGACTGCTGCTGGTCAGGTCCTGCCTGTGGGTCACTGTTTTAGGACCACTGAAAGTCCCAATGTGAATGGACTGTCTTCACATCCGTTCTCCCCACCCCCCATTTTTCGGCCCACAGAATGGAAATAAAATGCCTCCAGTCACCAGCCATCTGAGAACCCGGGTCCCTAAATTCTAGATCTGTTTTGTCAACTCATCTGTTTGCAGGTTCTGCCTTTTCCAGTTTTTCCTTTCTGCAAAGGCTGTAATGAGTTTTTTCCAACTTGATATAACTTTGCTGAGAACTTGCCCATCCCGCGCTGTGTCTGCTGCTCCGAGAGGGTGGGTTCTTGTGCAGGACTCTGCCCCTCCTGCCTCCAGGCCCCACCCTGCGGCTCGTGGCTCACTTCCTGCAAACTCCTCACTCCTGGCATCCCTCACTGCCTTCTCTTTCTTACCCGCCACCCTTAAACTTGCTGCAGAATGTCTCAGCCTCCTGGGATAAGTGATGTCTTGAGGGTTAACCATGAAATGTCATAAATGTTTTAAGGGAACTTCTTCAGGTGTGTGTATGGAGGGTTGGGGGGCCGGGAGAGGGAACGGGGGTGGGAGGACAAGTGACAAGGCGGATGGGATAGAAACTAGTCTGACACCCCCGAGCACGCCTCGCCCACGTGAGCCACAGGGGCATGCTGTTGCCTCTCTTCTTGTTCCTCTTGACTGTCCCTCCCCCAGGTGCCTAAGACCTTAGCCGTTGCTGGGCTTGGGCAAGAACATTGCAGTGGGAATCCTTGGGTGTTTATAAATTGCCAGGCTTTTAAAGATAACACCAGGAAAGCACTGTCTCTGCTCCTGGGACCTTTAATATGTCATTGCAAGTCCCATCCCCCGTTTGCTCCCAAGAAGTTCCCAGCTGCAAAGCAAAGCTCTGGGAGTGCTGGTCGGAAGACTGTCCCATCGTCCCTAGAGCACATGGGAGACTTGAGATGACAGTAGATCCCAGAGCCACCAGCCCTGATGAGGGACTGCAGAGTCACAGGAGTGGACAGGAGGGCCTTTGAGTAATCACTGTAATCCCTCTCAACTAGAGCGGACTGAGAAATTGCCCATGGGCTCCATTAAAAATGTGGTCAGTGAACCTATCGAAGGACACGAAGACTACCACATGATGGTAAGTAACCCGGCGTGGGTTGGCCTCTCACTACACTTCTCGTCTAGCAGGGAATGGGCTCTAGCTGAGCTTTCTTAACTGAAGAAGCAAACTTAGTATTCAGAAGACGCACAGTTTTAAGACCCTCACGTTTTCTTCACCTACCTAGAACTTAATCTATTCCTGAGTTTATTTTGCACCCCCCACCAGTTTAAAGGGAATATGTTTAATACCTTTACCTTTACCTTCCTCTTATTTGTAATATTTTGTCTTTAGACCAGGAAAATAAATACAGAGAGGAGGATTGGCTTGTGGGTTTTCATTTTAACTTTTGTCCTGCGTATTAAAACAAAATCTCCCACCATCTTGGGCGTTGGTGAGGACGCCAGGCAGTCCCCTTCTGTGATGGTGTCGCTCTCAGGTGGCAGCTGTCAGGTGGCTGAGGGCCCTGTGAGGAGGATGGGGTCTGTGGTCATCATTCTGCATGGAGGTTTACTCTCGAGAGCAGGCTCTTCTCTCCTGGATGACATTTGGAGGCCTTCCCCGAGTTTGTGCAGAACAAGCCAAGAATCCAGTGATGCGGTAAACGGGGCAGCTCGGGCAGACCCCTGAATTCTCCCAGCGCTGTTATGAGGGGCCACTTTAGAAGTGAAGTTTGATTACCAGAACTTGTAAGTTACTAGGCCCGGGACCTTACCTGAGCCAATAGTAGGTAGGGACAGGGCTGCCTGCCATTCTCCCATCAGAGGAAGACGATGTTTTAGTTTCCTGCTAATAGCACTGTAGCTGTGTCAGCCCCATGGGGATAAGGAGCAGCTATGGCTTGACCTGCGAGGTGGTGTTACAGAATCCCCTGCAGAGGGAGGTGTGAGAAGATCCCAGAAAAAGGGGGTTCTGGTGTTCCAGAAGTTCTCTCTGGGCAGAGGGCAAGTCCACTGGCTCTGGGGGAAGTCAGTCCTGTCCCCTCTCTTGGCTTGTTGGTGCCTGTCCGCTCCGAGGCACTGAAACCAGGCCACCATTGGGGTTGCAGTCCCTGGGCCACAGGGCTTCTGGGTGACCTGGGAGTGACCTCGTTACTGGGGCTGCTGTCAGGCCCTCTGGCAGCCCTTCCTTAAAGGATTGCAGACACATTTGTTCTGCCTACTCAGCTGTTTTTTCCATTTACAAAGTTGGATTCTAGGTTTTTTCAGCTGGGCCCCTTCACTCCCTTTTGAAATTTTCATCTTTCCCATTTTGCCTGGTAGCATTTACAGCTCTGGTTTTTAAGCAGCCTGGTGAGAGGGATTTCAGACAAGTTGAGTGGTCCTTTCAGAAGTTGGTTTGGGTTTTTTTTTTTGTTTTTTTCTTTACTGTTTATTTCTTTTTGAGAGAGAGAGAGAGAGAGAGAGAAACAGAGCATGAGCAAGGGAGGGGCAGAGAGAGAGGGAGACACAGAATCCAAAGCAGGCTCCAGGCTCCCAGCTGTCAGCACAGAGCCCCACGCGGGGCTCAAACCCACAAACCGTGAGATCATGACCTTAGCCAAAGTCAGACGCTGAACCGACTGAGCCACCTGGGCGCCCCTCAGAAGCTGGCTTGGATGACCAATGCCTTCTTAACTCGGTTTAAGTGTTTGTTTCTCTCTCAGGTCATCTCTGGCAGAGAGTAGTGCTCCTAGCCCCTTCTCGTCACTAAACACCATTAAGTGGCATCCTCACCTCTAAGTGAAAGGACTTTCCTCATTTTTTAGATGCCATATCAGTAGCTAGATTGATAGTATCATAGTTCACATCAGAGAAGGATGGCTGTGCTTTTGTTCCCAGAGAAATGTTTAAAAAGGCAGAAAAGAACAGAGAGTACCATAACAAACCCATATATCCGTCACAAAGAAATGATCACTGTGAATGGCTTTAAACTTTTTTTTTTTTAAATAAAATCTACCAACAGTGAACACGTCCCCAGTGTCTCCCCCTCCCCCATGACCACGAGCATGATTTATCATGTGGATCCTTCCCAGCTCTCTACGCTTCTATGTTCGTATAAATCCATGGACAAGATACAGTACTGTTTTGTGTTTTTTCAGTTTTCATAAATGGTCTCATGGTATGTATCGTTCTGCAACTTGATGTTTTTGGTTCGACATCGTGATCTGTTTGTATTAACTGTAGATCCAGTTCGTACCTTTGAAAAATGATCCCGCATTCATACGAGTAGGCCATCACGTCACTTTTAGTTTTGCGTTCCCTTACCGATGGACATGTAGGTTGTTCCCGGGTTGTCCTCAGTTCTGACAGTGCTGCTTTGAACCTTCAGACCTATCTTCTTGTGCATGTGTGACAGTTTCTCTAGGGCAGTGGTTGTCAGACTGGTCTCTGGATCAGTAGTATGACATCACCTGGGATCTTGTTAGAAATGCAGATTCTCAGGCCCTGGACCTCCCAGAATCAGAAACTCTGGGCGGGGGGGTGGAGCCCACCAGTCTGTTCTAATAAGCCTTCAGATGGTTCTGATGCACACTCAAGTTTGGGAGCCACTGCTTTAGGATCGGCTATGCTTAACTCGCCCACCACTTTTTGTTTTTTTATTTTGTTTTCGGACAGGAGAATGCTCCCCGTGTGCACAGTTTTCCCCTTCCCGTAATGAATTCACTTCTCAGCCCTCCCCCGTGTGTGTCGTGCTGCTTGCCTAGTCTCCCGACCTCTGAAGTACCGCTTGGTTTTCCTTTTTCCCTTCCAGGCGTTTCAGTTGGGCCCCACGGAAGCCTCTTACTACTGGGTGTACTGGGTCCCAACTCAATATGTGGATGCAATCAAAGACACTGTGCTGGGGAAGTGGCAGTATTTTTGAAAGCACTTTCACCTCTGGCCCAGGAGACTGACCCAAAGTGAAGGACATTGCTGGGAGAGGCCTGCAGCATCCCTGGATTTCAGAGTTCTGGGACTTTGTTCAAAAAAAAAAAAAAAAAAAAAAGCTATATCCAATCTAAGGCGATGTGGTGACTGAAGCCAGAGGTGATGTACTTTCACCATTAGCTTAATTTTAACTTAAAATCACCGGTTCCCTTTTCTTGCAGTCAGCTTCATACCATTTTTAAAGTTGATACGGTGGAAATCAATAAATCTGAATTCCGAACATGTTGTGTGGAATACTCTTAAGTGTGTTTGAGAGTAGATCTACCAATTTTGTTTAGAAAAGAATGATATAAAAAGCTTGCTGGATTCCTTTTTTTGTTTTTTGTTTTTTTTTTAAGGTGACTTCAACTGAAATATTTTCATAACTCTTTGGTTGCAAACATTTGGACTGCGTTGTGATGAGCTGGGCTTTTTCTTTTTCATATAAAATTGTATGCAAAACAAGGGGGGTTAGTAAGCCATATTTTTCTGTCCATCGATTCAGATTGAATTCTTTTCCCATTTTTATGTTCTCGCTTCCTAGATTTGAGTTTTTGTTTTAAAACCCAAAGATGTCAGTTCCTGTTTTTGTACCTCATCAGGGCTTCCTCTCCTGGCCTCCCTCCCACGGTGCTGCTGCTTGAGAACGCGCGGTGGGAGAGGAAGAGCTGTTTGGTTGAGGGCAGGGAGCTCTCGCACTGGGCCCCGATCTCTGGGGAGTTCCGCTGCTGGTGCCGTGGTTGTCTGGCGGCCTCACTGATTTGGCCTCGAGGCCCAGCCCGGCGTGAGTGCACACCTGGGCTGCGCTGCTCAAAAGCCACAGCTCCCAGGCCAACCAAGGCCTCTTCGAGGAGGATCTGGAAGACGGTTTCCACAGCCATACAGCCACAGGCCCAGATCCTTCTTTCTTTCAGATTTCCAAGAAATTCTTAAGCAGTCCAACAATTATTTCAATTATGCTTCTCCATTTGGTCCTTCTGCTCATGCGTTATGTTCAAGTGTCCTTCATCCCAGGGCCAGAGATGCTACCTTTCTCAATAAAAGACATGTTGACCTGGTGGGTTGGCCGATGTATTTAACATCGAAAATGGGATAAATCGCTTTTGTGAATTAGCTCACCCTCTTCTGGTTTTAGCCCTTATGTTCTTGGTACACGTGAGCTTCTGTTGTCTCCTTATGGCTTGATGGACTCTGACACGAGGGCAAGTCTCTTGGTGAATGATCCCCTCTGTGCTCTTTGCTTTTCCCCTGCTGGCTGTCTTCGCCGCTCTCTTCTCCCTGGCTGCAGGCTCTCATCGTAAGGTTTGGCGAGAGATTTTCCGGACTTCACATTTTGGATTCTAGGCTGTTCCCCCTCATTCTGTGAAACGTAATTAGCATGTGTTCGCCTAAGATGACTATTCCTTGTGAGCCAGTTAATGATGATACTCTACACCCTTCCCTTCCAAGCTGTAGTTCAGGCATCCAGTCCATGTAGACAGACTCGTGCTTCTCACGGTATAGCCCGTGCCTGGTTACGCATCTGGGCAGGGAAATCTACTCTTGCTTTTTTGGGGGGCGGGGGCATACGTACATTAAGTGAAGTGTCGCATCCAAGAAACTGCCTGTTTGTCATCCCTTGAAGAAGGAGCAGTTGCTGCAGCATTTCTGTCCTTGTTGGCCTGTGGTGCCTGGAGCAAAGGGCTTTTTTGCTACTTGTCAGAGCCTCCCTCTGCGATGGACGGGTCTCTGCAGAGGAAATGATCACGTAGAGAGTGGGGTGGCCTCTCGGTGTGAATACTGCCCTCTTCGTTGGCCAGCGCCCCTGTCCTGGAGACGTGTCCTGACAGGGCCACACGCCCACTTCTGTTCCCGCAGAGCCGGTGTCTCCATCCCCAGACTGGCCTCACAGTGCTGCTCTCCGAGGCCCTTCCCGCCAGCTCTCCTGTGTGGCCTGTTTGGTGGCTGCCCGTGCCGTCTGTCCTCCTTCCCTCCCACTGAGAGTGTGCGTCCCTTCGTCTCCCTGCTCCCCAAGGGCCAAACTGCTTCTCACTCAGGCTGCTGTCATTTCTAGGCAGGACCAAAGCCTGCGTGAGCCTTTTTGTTTTACGTAAAATGGTGCTTTTTTCCTTACTTCGAGATACTATATATAATAACGTCAACGACATCTTTTCATACAGAGCCGTTGGAGTATTGCTTTATGGAGCTCAGTAAATTTGCTAGAATGATCTTGAGCTCTGGCTCCTGACCCTGTCTGCATGGAGACCTTGCTGGGAGCGCTCGGGAGAGCAGAGGTGGACAGCATCAGAAGCCGCTGGGAGAAGTATTTGATTTAGATCCGTGTCTGGGTCACAGCAGTATTTACGGGTTTGTCACTCGGTCCCATGAGCGGTCTCTCCTAACCTTGTTTATGGTCCAGAATATACTAAGTCTGTGTTAGCAAAATGAAGTACTCATCCCCCTTGGTGGCATCAGTGTTCATTTTTCCTCAGGACTATTTCTGTGCAGCACCTTCCCTGTTGGAGGGGACTAGTTCCTTCCCTGGGGCGTGTCCTGCCTCCCCGTGGCAGGGGACTTGCAGTCAGGTGGCCTCAGAAGGAGCTGGTTCCAAGGAGGGGCCCGGTGGGCAGGGAGCAGGCTGCGGAGTCGCCATCTCTTCCGTGCCGGGCGCCTCCCGGGCCTCCAGAGGGGCTGCTTCCCCAGTGGGTCTTTGCCACAGACATCAGATCTCTCTTCCCTCCCCGAGGCCACTTGGCCGAGTAGTGGTAGGGTCACTGCTGCCAGGGCTCCGGCCCTCGCAGCTCTGTTTCTGTCAGTCTGGTCAGAGAACTTAGAAAAGCAAACTGGCGAATTGCTGGAAGTCTCTGGTGTGAAGTATTTTAATTGAAGCTGGGCCTTTCGCGAGTAGCGTTTGCTCTTTGCAGATGGGATTGCACTAAGGATGCCCTTGCGGACACAGTAGGGGCCGCTGAGGCTTCCGTAGGTTCCTTCAGCGGCTGCTCTGCCTGACGAGGGCCAAAGAGACCAACTCTGCCACTTTGCCACATCTCAGAAAAGTTGCCATGTTTCAGCCAGAAGGGACTCGCTTTCCTCTTCTTCCTTTAACCATGTGCCTGGAGGAGCCGTCCTGGGCTCTTGCACTTGGCCCACCCTTGCTTTGCTGGGGCAGCGAAGGGGAAGGGATGGACTCTGCGTGCCAGGGCCGTGCGAGGGCAGGCCTGCTTTTCACCCCATCTTCTGAGGGAGACCTCTCTCTTGCTCCTTGCTGCTCTGTTCACGCCTGTTGTCTTGGAAAAAGGACAGTCCCTTTGTCTTAAGGCTTTGTGAGGAAGACCTCTCCAGTTAGGATTGGCACCTGTTTGCTTCCGAGTAGGGCCGCAAGGCCTCTCTGAAGTTACAGGCGGTCAGGAGCCCTCCGGAGTGCAGAACATCTGGCACATCTCCCTGCCAGGCTGGGTGGTTCTACTGCTTTCTAAATTTCTAAAAATCTCTTTCCTTTTCTTTCTTAAAGAGTTCTGCACAATTATTTGACAATATACGTAAGTACCATGTTTCCTTGTGGTGTGCGCTCTGTTCTGGTTTCTGTTTTTAAATCAAATGCCTGTTTGGGAGGAGTTGAACGTATTTAGTCTATTAGATTTGCGCTGCTGGATTTTTTTTAAAGTGTAACCTTGACTAGCTGTCTTATTGTTTATCCTGTAAGATTAGTCTATCAATTAAAGTTTGATAATTAATTGCGTCTCTTCCTTCCAGTTTTTCATGCGCCTAATCCATGCTGGGGATTGACCAACATTTGGGACTGGGCCCAGGGCCTTTTTTTTTTTTGCCATAGAATTCTCTTATTTATTTGGTTTTAAATATATCCATATTTGTTCCTGTGAAAAAGAGTCAATACAGAGATCTCGGTCTGTTTACTATGTTAGCCAAAATGACCTACTTGTCAGACATGCTTGGGGTAAAGCGGCCCACCTTCTGTGCTCTGGCCCCCCAGGTGTCGGAGGAAAGCTGCCTCCCTGTCCGTGTGCCTTCTGACTCGTGCCTCGGGTGACTTCAGCTGGGCATGTTTAATAAAACACTGAGATGGAATGCGGCGGTGGCGGGGAGGGGGGTTGGGAGGGGAAGAGAAGATATAGTTCCAAAAACAGGACAAAAACAGGACAAAAACAGTCCTTGGCATGAATGAAGAGTCGTGACAGTTTGTCAAAACTGATTTTGACCCAGTACCACCCATGGGACCCTCTCTCATCTGCCCACTGTGTAAATGTTCTGGAAGGTTCTGGTCTCATTGTGCCGCGCCCCCTCCCACCCCCCTTTTTCCTGCATTTTCCCAGCATCTCAATCCTGAAGCAGTGCTGTCAGGCTCTTAAGGATCTGTTGTATGGGAGAGAGGTAGACTGGGGCTGTGCATGTGCTGCACAGGGGCTGATGCCCACCTGGAGAATCTATACAGAGGGTGCTTCTGGATTTTATCCCAGTTTGGAACGGTTATTCCAGGCACCTTCAAACTAATAGGATGAGCGACTGTCCTCAAATGGAGAATGAGATAAATTCCAGCTGGACTGTCTACAGTAGGAACCCCATGAACTAGTCATTGGAGCAGGAGGCAAGGTCTTCCTACTCTTGGCTCAAGACGTGCTCTGCTTGGCCCGGCCGTGCTGTGGGAGGCTGAGCTCCATCCTGCCCATGAGCTCTCTGCCAACACCACTTGCCTACTTTGAGCCAAATTAACCCCTCCAGCTTTCTTTCCCTAGTTTATCAAGGCTAGTTTTGATCTGAAGCCTTCATTAGCCTATCTGAGTCTCCTGATAGAAGTTTTCCTACTGTTCACCCCATTTCATAACTTATAATTCTTGAGTTTCTTCTGTTTTACCCCTTCCCCCTTATCTAATGTTAATCCCTCACTGTTCTCCCTTTTTTTTAGTTTTGGAAATTTTCAAACCTACAGAAAATTGCACTTTTCACCGAGGTTCACCAATTGTTAAAATATCAACACCACTGCTTGCTTTCTTCTACAGACACACATGCACTTTATTTTGCTGGAACACTGGACAGACATTCAGACCTAATGACACTGAGCACTCACCTCCTAAGAATCACACTGCTGTACCTGAGCACAACACCATTGTCTCATCCAAGAGAGTTCCTATCAATTCAGCAGTATCTGACATACAGACCAAAATATCTTCTAGAGCTTTATTTTCCCAACTCCTAATCCTTATGTTTTTGCTGCTTTACCCCCGGTCTTGTGTTTCTTCGGTACCCACTTAGCTTTTCTGCTGTTGCTAATCTTGGTTTTTCTCTCCCACCTTAATTTCCCCCATAGATTTCTTTCATCTTCATCTTCACTGTGATCCCTGATCTCTAACTTTCTTGCCTGAGCCTTGCACTACTTTATGTCGTGGGTTTGTCAACAGTTGGCCAGAGCAGGGCTCTGGAGGAGGTGTGCTCAGGGCAGCAGCACCTCACAGAGCAGAGTCCTCTCGGCCACTGTTCCCGTTCCCTTCCTCCATCTAAGACTTACAGACTCTAGGGGTCCAGGAATCAGAACTCTTGGTTTTTGGTGACAAACCTGATTCACATGACATAGGCACTGTGATTCGGCTTGTGTAAATGGAAAACCCAGGGTCTCCCACCTATGGCCCAATGCACGCACTCAAGTCAGGCTGTCAGGTGTCTGACCTACTAACTCCCAACTCTGCTTTGCCAGATAGCGCTCTCACTGGGGGCTTGTTGCTCTGCCCTCCACAAACACACAAACGTGGTAACTTTGGCGTGGAAATCCGAGGCATGTGCTAGTTGACTTCATTCATTGTGAGTCTGGGGCTTTCACATACTCCAACCTGTAGAAAACAGAGCAGCTTTGGCAGACCACCAAGCAAGGTTTTGATCTCTTGCTAAATAAATGTCAGGCCAGTGCTACTTGGAAAGGGACTCACTCCAGACTGCCTTCTGGTCCTGTGACATTGGCTTCTTCGAGTCTTACCATGTGCCAGGCAATGGGTCAAATTATTTATGTGTGTTATAGTCAACACTTGACTACATCCCTCATCTTCCCAACTTTACCCATTAGAGGAGACAGGTGCAGCCAAGCTAAGTGGCTTAGCCAAGGTTGTGTGCCCACCAGTGAGGGAAGCTACCATCCAGAACCCAGTTTTGCCGGTCACCAAAGTCTGAGCTCTAGATACGCACCTTATTGTTGAGAACCCAGGCAGGTCCTCTGCTACTTTTTCTTTCATAGATTTTCTTCTTTCCCCAGCTTCGCTAGATATCTTAAGAGCACTAACTTGCGGCTTAGCTAAATACCTTAAGGGCACTAACTTGCGTCTGTAAATTCTATTTTTAAACTTTGAACCCTGACATTTGCTTTTTAATTGGCTACTATGTAAAAAATCAAAACAGTAAGTAATCCAGTACTTGATAAAATTCCAAGTGGTAGGTAGTCTCTCAGTTCTCAGTTCCGATCCATCCTTCACTTAAGGTTTACACATGGAAGCATCCATTCCCGAACTGAGAGTCAGTCATTGCCACTTAAAACCCTTAAGGCTGGGGGGTTTAACTCAATGGGGGACTTTGCAGCTGGAGGGAACCAGCATGGTGGGGAGGGGGGAGCACCTTGCAAACTCAGACTCTAGCCCCGTGACTCCAGTCCGGAGTTTTTCTTGAGCCCTGCTGGTTACTGGTCATTTGCTTGGGTATCCCACAAACAAATCCAACACAGTCCTCAACTGAAATTCTATCCCCCTTCAAGCTGATCCTCCTCCATTCCCTATTTGAGGCAGCAACTCCAACAGCACTCAAGCCAGACACTTCAGGCAGACCATAGGCTGGCTGCCTTTTTCATCTGACCAAGTGTTGCCATTTTTATTCCCACAAGATCTTTCCAGTCCATCCCTCTTTATCCCGTCCCCCAAATCTGCATTCTTCTCATGGGCCCTTCCAGTAACTACCTTGTCCATGCCCTCAGCCCACCCTTTGCGTAGCCGCCAGCATCTGAGGCCAAGTGTATCTGTGTCCTCTGCAGAAGATGCACCCACTGCCACCGAGTTCCTTAACCAGGCTAAGGCCCTCTTTAGGGACACAATCCCCGCCAGGGTCAGGAGCTGCAGGCAGCCCCACCCTGCAGCAAAGTCCCACACTGAGCAAATTGATGTCCCACCTGCCTTGGTACATGCCGCTCGCCTGCCTGCCTGGCCAGCTCCTGCAGAACGTTAGGAACTCTGCTCAGGCTTCACTGCCCGCCGGTGCCCGTCCCAAGTATCGTGCCCCCGCTTCTGCTCCGCTCCTCCCAGTTTCCACAGACTGTTAAATATCACTTTTATATTTTCATTTATTACACAATATGTGGTATTTATAATTAAAGAAATACTGATTGACAGAATTAAGCCCATGTATTCCTACCACTTGGTAATCATTAACATTTCAGTATGTGTTTTAAAGAAATGGGATCATGATAAACATCGATCTTCCCATATAGCTGTGTAAAATTACTATTGAGCTAGTCTTCTATATGTTACACGTAGCATGAATTTTTTTTTTTTTTTAGTTTGTCAGATTTCAAACTGAACTGTGGAAAGAATAGTACAGTGAACAGGCATGCACGCACGCACACTCCTGTCACCTGGCCACCAGTTGTAAACATGCTGTGTCACTCTTTTTTCTCTTCTTGTGCTGAACCATCTACAAGTTAGCCGGGGACATCTTGATGCTCTACCCGCAGGTGTCAGCAAATGTCTGTTCCCTAAGAATAAGTTCAGTCTACTACATAAGGCTGTTAATAGACCTGACAAATTGAACATTGTTTTGTCACCTATATCCAGTCCAGTTGTCCCCTGAACATCTTGATCTTTCCCCCAGTCCTTTCAAGCTTCACATTTCATGAAGCTGCTGTATCTCTGGTCCCCTTTAATTTAGGATAGTTGCTTTTTTTTCCCCCAGGACACTGATTTTTTTTTTTTAAGTCCCACCTTCTCAATTGATTTCCTGGTGATGAGATTCAGGTTGATGATTCCAACAAAACCTGGAGGTGACGTCTCTCAGTTCATCAGCTAGGAGCAGCGGCGCTTGTTGGCACACCGCTGGTCCCGAACAGGACGGATCACACGGATTCTGTCTGTCTGTCTGATGAGATGGGTAGCTGAGGGCGGGGAGCGTGCCCAGGCCCCACCTGGCAAAGTGTGTCCCATCCATGGCAGGGCCATCACTGCTTCGCTGGCTGAATGGGCGCACGTGCTGCCTGGAGGACACACAAGACTGAGGAGTGACATGGCAGAACTGGAGACGGAACGAGAAGCAGGTTAAGACCAGCCTCACAGCCATCATCCTCTCATCAAAGAAACTGCCCACAACAGATGCACAGATCCTCAAAGATATTTGCAGGAGGCCGTTAAAGCAAAATGCACACAATCCAGTTGATGCTGTTTTAATTCACACACTCTGGAATACATTTAGCCAGTTCACTGCTTACCTGTGGTGGCACACGAGTCTCTCAAAGAATTTTCCAGCCAAGTTCTTAGAGTAGAAACATCTTTGCTGTTCACACCTAGATCCTAAAGTAGCATTACCAAGGAATTATCTATGCATGACTCAGTGAGCTTTTTTCCCTGATTCTGGCGCTTTGGAGACTTCCCACAGCCCCAGAAGGACGTGAACGGGCACTGGTGGTGTATGGTGAAGACGGCAGCAAAGCATTCAGTGCCAGCCCCGCTAGACTTCGTGACCTCAAGCAGAAACAACCACAGATGTGTTTTTTGGCAAAATGTGCAGCTGCCGAGGGGCTGACATAACCGGAAGAACGATCTACCCCAGATGTTAAAACTGTGGTTCATCCCAATCAAACTAGCCGCCTGCAGCCTGTTTTCTTCCCTTCCAGCTCTCCAGCACCCAGTAAGCAGGCAGTCTCTTCCCTGATCAAATGTTGCTGTTAACAGTGAGGATGCTCCTTATGCTCCAATCTGGCATTTCTCCAAAACTCGTAAAGTATTAAAACATACATATACGGTGCGGTGTGATGACGAATGCCTGCCTCCTGTTCCTGAAAAAGCAGGCCTGTCTGCCAAATATACTGAGAGCGGCAGCACAGAAGGCACTGGTGGCACTGGGTGCCCCAAGGAAGGAACCAGGCCCAGCCAGGACTCAAGCTGCCTCCTCTCTCAGCCAAAAGATTCTCTCCCAGCTGAGGGTCCCTCAGCCTGTACGCTTCTTACACTACTTCCTATCTGCCACAAGATCTCACTTCCCCCACCTACAAACAAAACGTTCTGTTAAAAGTGGAGCAGTTACTTTGGCAGGTCTCACACGAAATCTCATCAAGAGCCAGGCGACTGCTGGCTTCAACCCCAAGGACCTCGCACAGTGTTGTTAAGAATAAAAGGAACAGCACTGGTACTTACTGATACAGGACTTACAGACTGACTTCTGTGTCACTCTGACCTTCCAGGAGGAAAGAGAACTTTCTATCCTCCCAAAGTATTAAATTCTATTCATTTGGAAAGAGATCCACAGGACAGGGAGAGAAAATTAGTCACACACGCTGGTGTCAGCCGATACATCTGATAATCAAACTGATGGAGGCCAAAAAAATTTTTTCTGAGGCAAAAAGTACTTTTATCACTAATGCTCATTCCTTAAATTACTCATTAAAATTAAATTACTCATTAAAAGTAATGGGAAAGAAACTTATTTCAAGTACAATGCTAAAGTTTTCTTTAATGCATGAATGCCAAGGACTAGCCAGACACACCTTTAAACTATTAAGCAAATTCAGTATACACAAGTACTTTTTATAGACACTGAAAAACTGAAGACTGAGAAAAATGTTGGTTTTACAGATTTATTTTCAAAGGGAAAAACACACAATTTAAATACAAGTCTAAACAGAATTATTCTGTCAAAGGTGGCAATGGCCAAAGCACGTTCTCACTTCCAGACACTTGCCAGCATCTTCTGAGTCTTCTCTCAATGAAAAAAAAGGGGTCTGGCAAAAACAAAGCAAATTCAATGTTTCTTTTTGGTGCACTGACTTTCAGGGACTTTGAGGTGCTCAATCCAGGGTAACTAAAGTTACATATAGTCAATCACTTGATTATCCTAGAGTCTAAATAACAATAGCTAACATCTACAGACAGGCTTCTTTACCATAAAGCAGGGTTGCAAGGGGCTTGCACACACCACCAAATTTCTCCATAACAAAAGCCTCAGGTAGGTCCTATCCTTATCCCTATTTTACATATGAGGAAACAGGCTCAGAGGCTAGACAGCCTGCCCAAGGTCACCAGGTTTACAGACCCGGACAAAGCTGAGAATCAGGTCCAGTGTCTGACTCCAGAGTCCATCCTCTCACCCAGGAGGCCTCTCCTGCCTGATTAAGCGTCAGGCCATCTCACAGCTTCTGGGACAGCAGGCTGGGCTGGCTTCGGGTGGGTAACTCCGCTTCTGGGTTACCTTACTCAGTGTTTTGTACAAGTCTGCTTTTATGAGGAGCGCTGACAAGGAAGTCCTGTCCAAGAATGAATTGTTCACGGCCCGTCTCAAGGATAAAGATGATCACTAAGGCCGGCCCCCTTTGAGTGGGAGATAACCAGAAGGGACCTGTGTTTTATAACCAGTGAAAATCTGTCAAGCGTTTCCAATTTTTCCATTTTCCCCCAAGTCTTTACTAAAGAACTACAGACAGATTAATTCTATGGGAGAAAAACGTTCTGTAAGTCAAATCATTTACCTGATATTTTATTCATACACATCCTTCTTATCTGCAATGTAATCTACAATTTCTTGTGGACACATTAACTTCTCAGCATCTGTATCAGGGATTTCAAACCCTACAATGAAAATGTACAATGCATGAGTGTAGAAAAAATCCTTTAAAATTAAAAGCATCTAATGCTTCCTTACCACCCACAAGTGCATCAAAATTTCCCGGCAACCCTGAATCCCATTTAAGTTATGGGTCAGTTATGTTCTAGACAACAGTCATATAATATTGTGTATAACAGCTGGTTATTTTTTTTAAAAGATATAATTCATATGATAGGAAATCCACCATTTAAGGTGTGTATAATTCAATGGTTTTTAGTATAGTCACTGTACAACCATCAGCATTATCTAATCCTAGAACATCTCCATTACCATGTTCCCATCCTACCCCTGATCTGATCCCACCAGTGAGCATAATCTGTGAGGAGTTTTAATTGAGTTCTCTGCAGGACAGCACAGAAGCCCCGTGGCTTCATTCAGGCAACTTAGCCAAACACTGTGCTGTGGAGCCTTAAAAGATCTCATGTGCACAACTGTCTGAGAAAGTCGCATGACCTGGGAGCGTGCATGCAGGACACCAGGCCTGTGCGTGTGCGTGTTCTGGGCACACCTACTTACTGATCTGGGCACGGCCACTTGGCCCTAGCTCATGGGAGGTGCCAAAGGTGTGTTCACCTTCTCCACAGGTGAGGTTCTGCTTGAGGTTGAGCCCCCACCTCAACCACCCAAGTCCATCCTCCCCCATCCCTTTCCTGGTCACTCAGCCCTTGGCACCACACCAGGCACCCTGTAGGCCCTGCACCAAGTGTGTTCTAATTGAGGACACTATCCCTAGCACTGACTTCACCTGATGCTAGGTAAGCAGGCGTGCATGTTGGGGGGTGCTATTTCTATTTCTGTATTTGATTGAAATCCCAATTCAGACTCCCAGCGTTTTCTCCACCTAAATCAAAAATTACACTGTGCAGACCCCAGACTTAGCCTTTTACCAAATTCGTCCTCCATGGCCATGATGATCTCCACTTGGTCCAAACTGTCTAAGCCCAGGTCTTTCATAAAGTGGGAATTTACCGAGAGCTGCAAGAAAGGAACACCAAATGCAAAATTCAGTCCGTGATGACATTTGTTTCCCAAGATAACATGTTATCTTGTACCAGGGAGGTGACAATGTCACTTAGTCATTAGAAGAGGTTTCTTAACATAAAGAGGCCATATTTTAAGTAGTAATAACTAGCATTTTATGTTTAACCTGTGCCAGCATTATATCTTAACTTATTCAACCTTGTTTTCAAATGTCAGCAATATATACAAGGTTAACGATGGATTTCACTTTATGTATTTTACTAAGATCTTTGATTTTTTTTCTGAAAACCTATCCTGGAAATGTATGTACAAAATGGTGTCTCTAATAACACTGCACTACATATCTGAAAATTGCTAGGAAAGTAGATCTTAAAAACTGTCATCATAAAAAAATTTCTATAACTCTGTGTGGTGATGGATGTTAACCAGACTTAACTGTGATCAATTCAAGATATATATCATGATGTTGTACGCTTGAAACTAACATAATGTTGTAAGTCAATCAGACCTCAATAATAAAAACCCCACTATCCTACCTATACAGCATATTCAATTTATTAAAGAGGGAATTTATGTACCACTGTGAGAAGAAACGCTAGCGGCTAAATTAAAAAAGCAAGGTGCAAAACAGTGTTTACAATATTCTACCGCTTGGATTTTTTAAAAAGGGTAGGAGATAAGGATCACATAGTACATAAAGTATACATACATGTACATACACGTGCACACTTCCTTGTGTATGTACTGAGTATCTCTGGAAAGATACACAAGAAGCCGGCTCCAGTGGCTGCCTCCCAGAAAGGGAGCCATGTGGCTGGGAGTCAGGGAGACTTTTTACTGAATATCCCTTTGGACCCTCTGAATTCTGTACCATTGATTAAATGCTCATTTAAAGAAAAACATTAAGCCACATCAATTACCTTTTCGGGGTCAATCTTGTCATAGAGTTTCAAGACATAAAGAACACGGTCCTTGATTCCCTCTAACGTCAAAGGGGGCGCATCGCTATACTGGCGGCATAACTGCGTGACTGGAACCTAAAGCAAGGGCAGGAAGAAAGCAGTCTTGAGAACCTAACACGCCTCAGGTCAGTGCACTGGCTCACAGATGCCTTCCATGGGGTTTTCAGTGCTTCAGAGAGCCGCACAGTCTGATTCTAACTCTGGCCATTAGGCCACTCAGGGTCACAATGCTGGGTCGTTGCAGAAGCCCTAGCAGTTCAGCAGCATACAAATGGGCCTCCTTTCCCCTCAGAGCCAGGACTTCCCTCTTGTCTGGCCCAGGGAGACTGCCTGCCACTAAAACCAGGTAGGGTCTGCAGGTAAGTGGAAGTCTTCTTGTGGCCTCTTCTGCAGGCCCACCCCCACCCCCCAGGCACTGCCACCTTTAACAGGCATGCCTGAGGTAAAGTAAGCCACCTGGGGGCGTCTGGGTGGCTTAGTCGGTTAAGCGTCTGACTTTCGCTTAGGTCATGATCTCGCGGTTCGTGGGTCCGAGCCCCGCGTCGGGCTCTGTGCTGACTGCCAGCTCGGAGCCTGGAGCCTGTTTCAGATTCTGTGACTCCCTCTCTCTCTCTGACCCTCCCCTGTTCACACTGTCTCTCTCTCTCTCCTAGAAATAAATAAAACATTAAAAAAAAAAATTTAAAGTAAGCCACCTGGAAAGAGCTGTCATGGTAAATGGAGAGGCAGCTCACTCTGAGGGCCACAGAGCGGAAGGTCTAAAATGGCCCTGGCAGTGATTACTCTGACATCGGCCAGAGCAAATGAACCAGCCACCAACCCAAAGGAGGTGAGGGAGCCCGACAGTCCCTATAGTCCAGTCTGTTTCTGTTTCAGGGTCGGCTTGCCTTACTGCCACCTGTAAAACCATGAGGCTTTCTGGTTTCTGCCATGATGGGAGTGGTAGCTCAAATGTCTTTGGTACTAGCCTACTTGATATTCAGCTAGGTATCAGTGTCTTGGATGGATTCTTTCACCAAATCTGAAAAGAAGTCCAACTCACAGCTCAGCAGGCTTAATGCTGGGGAAGGTACTATGCAGAACAAGAGACACAAAACAGCTGTCTGACACTTCTGTCCACGATGGAAGTCCCTAACCTGAACTACTGTGTTTACCTTTTATTTTTTCACCTTTTCCTTTATGTTTTTTATTTATTTCTGAGAAGGAGAGACAGACAGCGTCAGGGGAGGGTCAGAGAGAGAGGGAGACACAGAATCCGAAGCAGGCTCCAGGCTCTGAGCTGGCTGTCAGCACAGAACCCTATGCGGGGCTCGAACCCACAAACCGTGAGATCATGACCTGAGCCAAAGTCGGACGCTTAACTGACTGAGCCACCCAGGCACCCCTGTGTTTACCTTTTAAAGTTTATTTTATTTTTATTTTTTAAAATATTTTTATTTATTTCTAGGAGAGAGAGAGCGTGAGCAGGGGAGGGTCAGAGAGAGAGAGAGAGAGAGACACAGACTCCAAAATAGGCTCCAGGCTCTGAGCTGGCAGTCAGCACAGAGCCCGATGCGGGGCTCGAACCCACAAACTATGAGATCATGACCTAAGCGAAAGTCGGACACCTAATCGACTAAGCCACCCAGGCGCCCCTAAAGTTGACTTTAAATCAGCAGTTTGGAGTTCTTAGGCAATTTTCCAAAGAAAGTGGGTTTGCGTGTTGGGGCTCAGGTCCCGGAGACTGACGGAGGTCTATGAAAATCACAATTAAAAATGCTGCTGAATGAACCAAACCCATATATGCCTCTGAATAAGAGTATCTATCTTGCAAAAAAAAAAAAAAGAAAAAGAAAAAAATCGCGTATTGAAATCAGGTTTAATCAGCAAGCTATAAAGAAATTAGATGACTTAACGGAGGACCATGGGGGAGAAGAAGGGGGGTAATGGTGGGGGAGGGAGGCAAACCATGAGAGACTCTTAAATGATGAGAACAGAGGACTGATGGGTGTGGGGGGTGAGGGGGAGATGGGCATGGAGGAGGGCACTTGTGGGGATGAGCACTGGGTGTTATATGGAAACGAACTTGACAATAAACTATTTGTAAAAAAAAAAAAAAAAAAAGAGATGAAGAGCTTTACCGCTATTCACTCTAAGGTATTTCTGAGTACTTTCAGAGTTTAAGAACACTTACTAGTTTTGGCTAAATGTGTATAGTGTCCTTTCCTTTACGACTGCAGTGTGGGTTAAGGAGACCGCTGCTATGGGACCATCTCTGGGCATACTTGTCCACAATCACTAGAAGTCTCCACAAGCCACAAGTAAAAGGAAGCAGCAGAAAGGACTGAAGAGACAGAAAGGAGTTAATGGTGGTGATGACAGGAAATAACTTTGAGGGGGAAGGATCTGGCAGAGGTCTTGTCTGTGCACATCAAGAAGTGGTTTGAGGGGGGATTATTGCTGAGGAGGAAGGGAAATGGGAAGCTATGCAGCAGAGCCCATGAGGGAGGAGGTGGCCGGTGAACGGCACATCTGTACACAACTACGCAAGTGGCCCACTAGGTGTCAGCACCGTCCCCAGCAGCACTGGCAGGTGCCCAGGCACCACGTGATGGTGATGAAAATAAAAGGGTCTCCACCTGGAGAGCACACACTAGTCCAAACTGGGGGGCTACCGTGGGCCCGGCACAGGGCAGGCGGGTGCAGTGGGGGACAGCTCAGACTCTGGAATAAGACGGCCTACATTTGTACCCTGGCACTAGCTCTTTCTTACTAGCTGTGTAGCCTTGGGCTCCATTTCCCTCTGTAGAATGAGGACAAGTAGCAGTACAAAGCTCACAGCACTGCTGTGCGATGTCATTGAGAAAGCATACAGGGCTCAGAACCGCCCAGCATGTCCACAGTGAGTGCTCCCGGGGCCTGTCTAGGGGGATCGGGGTAATGACCTGCAGTCTGAGGCTCTGGTGGTAGTGTGGCCCCTAAGTACTTGATCCCACTCCTTACCTCTCATTTCCCACCCCACCCCGCACCCCGGTCTCTTTACGGACTTCTTACCCTAGGTTAGACTATGGTGCTGCGCTAGGCACTTTACAACCATCATCTCCTTCATTCTGACAACAGTCCCATTTTACAACAGGAAACTGAGACAAAGAAAAGTTAGGAATCCAGCCCCAGGTCTCCCAGCTTGGCCTCCTGAAAGGAGGCCTCCTTCCTGCTGGACTCAGCTATTAAAAAAAAGAGGGGGGGCGGTGTGGAGGTTCCTCAGGAAAATAACAATAGAACTCCGCTATGACCCAGCAATAGCACTGCTAGGAATTTACCCAAGGGATACAGAAATGCTGATGCATAGGAGCACGTGTACCCCAATGTTCATAGCAGTACTCTCCACAATAGCTAAAACATGGAAAGAGCCTCAGTGTCCATCAACGGACGAATGGATCAAGAAGATGTGGTCTGGGGCACCTGGGTGGCTCAGTCGGTTAAGCGTCTGACTTCGGCTCAGCTCATGATCTCACGGTTCGTGCGTTTGAGCGACGCATTGGGCTCTATGCTGACAGCCAGCTCAGAGCCTGGAGCCTGCTTCAGATTCTGTGTCTCCCTGTCTCTGACCCTCTCCTGCTCACACTGTCTCTCTCTCTCTCAGAAATAAATAAAACATTAAAATTAAAAAAAAAAAAAAGATGTGGTTTATCTATACAATGGAATACTACACGGCAATGAGAAAAAAATGAAATCTGGCCATGTGTAGCAACATGGATGGACCTTGAGGGTGTTATGCTGAGCGAAATAAGTCAGGCAGAGAAGGACAAATATCATATGTTTGCACATATAGGAGGATTGGGAGGAACTTAACGGAGGACCATTGGGGAGTAGAAGGGGGAAATGGTGGGGGAAAGAGAGGGAGGCAAACCATGAGAGACTCTTAAATGCTGAGAACAAACTGAGGACTGATGGGTGTGGGAGGGAGGGAGGGGGGAGATGGGCATGGAGGGGGGCACTTGTGGGGATGAGCACTGGGTGTTATATGGAAACCAACTTGACAATAAACTATTTGTAAGGAAAAAAAAAAAAAAAAAAGAGGAGGGGGGCACAGATACCTCTGCAATGTCCCCAACAACGAACAATGTTTTTGGTGGTGTTTTCCCCAAGATCAACACTAAACAATTCTATGTGACCTAAGTCACCTCCCACAGCCATCAGAGAAGGCACTGTTTGCAGGAAAAGAGTGACTACCCTGTAGACTAGTAGAAACGAATTACCTGGTTCATTTCCCTCAAAATCCATCAGTCTCCACTCGGGTGCATCTCTAAGGGAACTGAGGAACCTCAGTTTAAAGCACAGAAGACAATTTTGAAGGCCATCTCTTCCAACTGCCCCCACCTGGACAGCTCCAACCAGGTCACAGACATCCTGACATTGGTTTGGAAATCCTTACCTGTCTCCAGAACACGTGCTCATGGACTTCTAACTCCTTGTTCACCACCTGGCACTCTGGCCAGAGACCTGAGAGCCAACCTCCGCTCTTCCTTCTGTCTCACCGTCATGTTTACTGGGCCACCCAGCCTGGCCAACTGGGAGGAAAGATCTCCCTTATTCAACACACCTTGTTTCACATTTACTCCCTGCAACCCAGAGAACATCCACATGCCTTAGTGCCCTTCACAACATGCCTACATCTACCTCAACTCGGGTGTCCCCTCCATTCCACTGGTGCCTGAGGGTCAACTGTAAGAGTGCCAGGCTCCTCCTCGCCTCTGCATGTGCTGTCGCACCATGACTTGAGTGCATGAAAAACTGCAGCCCTTTGGGGCGCTTGGGTGGCTTAGTCGGTTAAGCGTCCGACTTTCGCTTAGGTCATGATCTCGCGGTTCGTGGGTTCGAGCCCCGCGTCGGGCTCTGTGCAGACTGCCAGCTCAGAGCCTGGAGCCTGTTTCAGTCTGTAACTCCCTCTCTCTCTGACCCTCCCCTGCTCACGCTGTCTCTCTCCTAGAAATTAATAAAAACATTAAAAAAAATGTTAAAAAAAAAAGAAAGAAAAACTGCAGCCTTTGAGACCTTGCTCATGGGGGGAGGGCGGCGGGGAGGCCGCTAGGTAGGTCCCTCTTCTGTGCTGTACACGCTCCATCCTCACACATGGCTATGTCTTATCTTCACACACGGGACTGTCTCAGCAGCCTGCGAGCTTTACCTCCTATGCCTAGCACTGTCCTGTAAGCTGGAACTAGAGATCAATGAAATATGACCTCTACCCTGAGAGAAGCTTATGGTCTAATGGAAAAGACCAACCTAAAGAAATTATTTCAGTTGTAATAAAAATTTAGCAAGAGCCATGACAGATATATTTGTAGGCTGCTTCAGGAACAAAAGTCGTCATTCAGTCTTTGACAGGCAAGGAAGAAACAGATATCAAACCTGGAGTTAGCCCTGAAAGGACAGGGACATTCAAGGAGGGAAGGTCAGGCCAAGAAAAAGAACTGAGGCCTGAAGGTGTGGCGGGTCTATGTGGGAAGAAACCAGTTCATGCTGCTGGAGACTGAAGGGTAAGGTGGTTCAGACAGGCTCTGAGGCTGAAGAGGCAGGGCAGAGGGCTGTAGAAACCTGAGTAAGACACAATAGCTGAGCTTTCCTGCACGAGCATTTTGCCTCCATCTGGGTACCATGCCCCACAGCATGCTTTAGAAGTCCTCTTTGTGCTCTGGCTTTGAAACAGTTCAGATTTGAGGCCTCCCTGGGTCAAGTATAAGACTTCCAGGTTCCATTTTAGGCCACCACCCTGTTTTTCTTACCTTCTGTTTTATACGGTCATATTTTTACATCCAGGAGAACCGCTTTATAGCTCATTTTAGGGGTCAGGGATGAGTCAGAATATAAATGAATAACTAGTCCCCCTGGAGCCGGCATAGTGGATGGATTTAAGGAGAAAAAATCTATTGGAAAAGAATGGGTGGAATAAGCAATAAGCCAGATGAAATGAGCTGGATGTGGAAGTTTGCGGTAACTGGGAAATAGGCAGTAACAAACCAAGAGAATGAAGAGACAGACCAGGAAGGGAGTGTGGTAAGAGATCTTTGAAACTTACCAACATTAACGATTATAAATGTCCCAACAGGGTAGGAGCAGAGAGACGGAGAAAGAAAGGACGAACCATGACAAACAGTGTAGAACATCTAAAGACCAGCGTCAGGAAATGAGCTGGCAAGTGTACCTTGAGGCCACAGAATGTCCAATGAGATATTAACTACTGTCTTTCCTTTGTATCTATCTCTCCACCCTTCAACAGCTAGAATAAGGTCTGGCCCATAGCTATCCTGTTCCTTTGAACAAACAAATCTTTTCTCTCTCTCCAATCTGCAAAGGATGTAAGGTGGTTAAATGGGAGCACTTGGTCAAAATCACTTTGTATATATAAATAAAATAGTTCTTTTGCTGTATATGTGAACCAAGCAGAGGTAGTGGGACATCCCTGAGCACCCTGCCATTCAAGGTGTGGTCCAAGGAGCAGAGGTACCAGGATCTTCAGGTCTTCAGGAAGCCCACTGGAAATGAAGACTCTTGGACCGTTTCCCAGAATCTATATTTTAACCCAACTGATCTGTAACAGTCAAGTCTGCAAATTGGTGCTCTATGAATAGGGGCAATCGTTTTGCATTTTAGCCTACAATGGAAATCCATCTCAGGAAGAAAACACTCAACTCTACATACTGCCCTTTACCTCTTAACTTCAAGGTGACACTTTCAACCTTTTGATTTAGGCAACAGGACCAATGCCTTATGAATTAATCCATCACATGGTCAATAAATCTCAACCCTAGCCACAGGAAAACAGACACTAAGGCCCCAACTCTAGAGATGACTGATTTGGCCTGGGCATCTTTATCCTTATATTCTAATATATAGTCAATATTGAAATATTGAAACCACTATTATATTAAGTGCACTGCTTTGGGGGGGCGGGGGGGGGGGTCTCAACTTGACCTTGAGAGTCTATTCTACCTCAAGGCAGTAGTTCTTGATCTTGGCCTAAACCCTTTAGTCACCTGGAGAACTAAAATGAAAACCCATGTCAGGGCCTCATCTCAGATAAGTAAATCAAAAAGCACAGTGGTGGGGAGGAGTGGGTAAGGGATTTTTTCCCCTTCTTTTAAGCTGCTCAGGTGATCTGAATGTGCAGCAAGGGTTGAGGGTTGAAAACTACTGCCCTAAAGAGCTTTTCTGCCTCACAAAGGTTTCATCCGACAGAAAGGCTACATACTACTTTTTTTCCTATCTTTACTTCAAGGAAGCGAGTGTACAGGCAAAAGGCACTACAGGGAGAAATCCCAACAAGAAATGCTCTGGAGAAGAGGCTAGAGGCCAGTGTGGCTTCCTTTTTGCACCTTGTCATTAGCTCTCCCCTAGAAAGCTATCACGGTATTTGTCATTATCACTACAACTAACGGAGACCAGTATTTTGAGAGCTCACCATGCACCACAACTAGGTGCTTTACCTACTCTTCCTCTCAAAACCTCGGTGCAACTGCACAAAGTAGAGACTAGTACCCCAAATCTGCCGCTCCGACTGATCTTAGGAAGGTCACGGACTTGCTCAAAGTTTCGGAAAGTGGGAGCCAGCCTTCAAACCCAGGGGCGTTTGGAGGGTCTGTGCTCCGGCTCGTAAGCACTAGGTCACCCGGGCTCCCGGCAGGGGTCAACCAAACACCATGAGGGAGTGGGACAGGCGTAGAGGCAATGTCCCCCGGTCACCCTCGCCTCGGCTGGCGTGGCCCCGCTCCCTGACCCCTCCCCCCACAACCCCGCTCCCTGACCCCTCCCCCCCAACCCCGCTCCCTGACCCCTGCCAAGCGCGAAGCAAAGTCACCACGAGTCACCTGCGCGAGCACCGAAGCAGGATGCAGAGCCCCAGGCCTCGCCCGGGCCCCCGCGGGGCACAGGGTGACGCTGAGAGGCCGGGCTGCGGCCAGCGTGGGGACCCGGGGGAGCGGCGCAAAGGCCGCAGGCAGTCGGCGGACACAAGCGGAAAGGACACGAGCCGCCATGGCTACGCCGACCCAGGATGCACTGCGCCGCGCCCTCCCGCCCAGTTTCCTCTCCGCCCCGCGCAGGGGACGCACAGAGCGGCGCAGCCGGCTGCCACTGGCCGTAGCGGCCCCTGGCGGCTCCTGGCGGCACTGCGCCCTCCTGGAGTGCGGTCTAGCTGTCCAGGGCGGGAGATGACCAGCTGCTAGCGCCAGAGCTAGAACCTCGTACTTACTGTCTTTCCCTAAACGCTAAGCATTGACACAAGAAAGGAACTTAGTTTTGGGGCGCCTGGGTGGCTTAGTCGGTTGAGCGTCCAACTTTCGCTTAGGTCATGATCTCGCGGTTCGTGGGTTCGAGCCCCGTTTCGGGCTCTGTGCTGACTGCCAGCTCAGAGCCTGGAGCCTGTTTCAGAGTCTGTATCTCCCTCTCTCTCTGACCCTCCCCTGCTCACGCTGTCTCTCTCTCTCTCTCTCTCTCCTAGAAATAAATAAAACATTAAAAAAAGAAAGGAACTTAGTTTTATTTATTCTCTGAAAGGTCTGATATACGTTTGTTTAGTTTTTTTAAAATATTTATTTATTTTGGGGGAGAGAGAGAGAGCGCGAGCGCAAGCAAGGAAAGGGCAGATAGAGGGGGAAAGAGAATTCCGAGCAGGCTCTGCGCTGTCAGAGCCGAGCAGCAGGCGCGGGGCTCAAACCACGAACTGTGAGATCACCACCAGGGTGGAAACCAAAAGTCCGACGCTTAACTGACCGAGCCACCCGGGCCCCTTTTTAAAAAAGTTTTGATGCCGCAGTTATTCCACAGGTTTAATAGGTCAAAACAATATAAAATAAAATGTGAAAAAAATCAGAATCAATTTAAATGTATGTTGGCTAATAAATGTGGGAATTACAATAAAACAATACACAAGTTTTAAAACTTAATGCATAAATAATATAGTTCACAAAAATGGAGTTAAGTGTGAAAAATTGTAACGTGCTAATCTCATACTTTCTTAATAAGTAAATTGAAATGCAGAAGAATGACTCCAAACTCTGAAAACTGCCTGGATGAACAGTCCAATAGCGTCTTCAGTGTTGTTGTTGGTTTTTTTTTAAAGGTTTTTATTTTTATTTATTTTGAGAGTGATAGCGAGTGGGGGAGGGATAGAGAGAGGGAGTGAGAGAGAATCTCAAGTAGGTTCCTTGATGTCAGCACAGAGCCCAAAGTAGGGTTCAGACCCACAAACCATGAGATCATGACCCAAGCCAAGAGTCAGTCACTCAACCAACTAAGCCACCCAGGGGCCTGTTTCTTACTTTTGTTAAATTCAAATAGTAACACGTTGTACCTTTAATTTAAAATAGACTGCATAGGGGCTCAGTCAGAAGAACATGCAACTCTTGACCTCTGGTTCCTGAGTTCCAGCCCAATAGTGGGTGTAAAGATTACTTAAAAAAATAAACTTAAAAATAAGTAAATAAAAATAAAATAGACTGTTGTAAAATTATTTCTATTTATGTGTTCATTAAGATATTGAGTATCTGTTATATGTTAGTTGTAATGTGCTAGTTGCTACAGCAGTGAGCAAGCCAGGCAGTCTATTCTCATAGACTTTACATTCTAGTGGGAAGATAGAAAATAAGTAAAATTAAACACCTCCGCCCACCAACAAACAAAAAACCTGGGAAGCAGTGATAAGTACAATGAAGAACAATAAAGTAGGAAGAGGGATAGTGAGGGAGGATAGGGGGTATGTTATTCTATTTTATTTTTACAAATATATTTGTTTGTTTAGAGAGCAAGCAAAGAAGAAGAGAGAGAGAGAGAGAGAGAGAGAATCTTAATTAGGCTCCACTCTCAGCATGGAGCCTGACACAGCGCTCTATCCCACTACCCTGGGATCATGACCTGAGCTGAAATCAAGAGTCCATGCTTAACCAACCGAGCCACCCAAGGGCCCCTGGAGGCCTGTTATTTTAGATAGCATGGTCCCTGAAGGCTTCTTAGGAGGTGATATCTGAGCTGAGGGGAGGGAAACAGAGACTTGGGATCACCCTGCTGCTGGTGATGCTGACCAGAGTGTCTGTGGCAGTGTAGGCAGCGGACACCAGGCTTCTCCAGCATCCTGACTCCATCACCATCACATTACTGCTTATGAGGCAGCCTTCTATTTCTGCAGAAAACTGGACCAGAAAATCTGGTTGGAGTCTGAGGAGCAGGGCCCATGAGATCTGCTTAAGCCACCAGTGACACACCAGACTGATTACTCATTCCTGGTGGCACTCTGGGACAGACCCACAGGACAGACCTGTGTTGTGACCGTGCAGCATTCACAGAAGGGGGAGCACTCAAGAAGAGCCTGATAACGTACTAAGCCCACAATTGGAACCCTCTCTTCCTATGACCTGTATTTCTGTGTTACAGTTCATCCTTTTGGCCAAAAATAATAAATCATCTCTTATTTAGACGATGTGCTTTGAGAGACCTCCTTCTTTCTTCAGCAAACACCAAAAGAGAAAATGTCAGCCTCCATGGTTTGTAGGGTGAAAGGTTGAATATTGAGATTGGAATCAAATCCTCAGCAGCTGGGAAGATTTCAGAGAGGGCACGGGCGCCTTCCAGTAGCAGCCCCATCAAAGGATGTATTAGCATCAACTATGTCAGGTTCCTCCATACATCAGCCCCCAACCCTCCAGGTGTCCCTCCTCCCTTCCAGCCCTTTACACTACTGTCTCGTCTTCTCCTGTTCCCCGGGACCTGTACCGACCGCCACTTCTCTCATCTCCCCTATGTCTTCAACCTCCTGCTTTCTCCTGGCTCTTTCCCTTAAGCCCATAAACATACCGGTTTCTCCTTGTCTAAAAACAAGGCCAGGGGCCTCCTCCACTGACCTCTTGTATAGCCCTAACATTACACTCCTTTCTTCCTAGTTCAGCTTTTAGAAAAAAAATCATCTACACCTTCAGCCTTTATTTATTAAAATTTTCTTTAATGTTTTATTTTAGGGAGAGAAAGAGAGAGTGAAAGCAGAGGAGGGGCCCAGAGAGAGAAAGGGAGACAAAGAATCTGAAGCAGGCTCCAGACTCCAAGCTGTCAGCACAGGGCCCCATGCGGGACTCAAACTCACAAGCTGTGAGATCATGACCCGAGCCGAAGTCGGACGCCTACCTGACTGATCCACCCAGGTGCCCCTATTTTATTTATTTTGAGAGAGAGCACACATGGGCAGGGGAGAGGTAGAGAGAGAATCCCAAGCAGAACCCAACTTGGGGCTCGAACTCATGAACCGTGAGATCATGACTTGAACCAAAATCAAGAGTCGGATACTTAACTGACTGAGCCACCCAGGTGCCCCCCAAGGCTCACGTTTTCGGAATGGATGCACTCCAGAGGTTTTCATTCCCACCTGCATCCAGCCCTGGCCTCTTCTCTGAGCTTCCTTGTCCTATACCCAACTGCCTGTTACCAGATGATCTAGAAGCACTGGAATGAACTATCATCTTCCCTCTCGTGTCTTCTGTTTCAACTGCTGACACCATTACCTGTTAAGTCAAAAATCTAAGACTCCTTCCTCTCCTAATCTAATCATACATTCACTTAGCCCTGCTCCTTTCTTTTCCCTTCTAAATCTCTCTGCAGTTCAGGTCTTTCATTCCTACAGCCCCTGCCTAGGTCAGGCCCTCTGGCCACTGTCACACCCCCACCCTTGTCCTCTGTTGCTAGAGTGGGGCCTTATCACTCCCCTGGTCAAACCCTTCATCAGTCTGTACACCCGCAGAATAGTCTGGGTCTTCTGACGCACGTCACAAGCTCCCTGCCCACCTTTCTAGCTTCCTGACTCCATTCTCCACAGCATGATCAATACTCTTGCCATGAGTTGTTTCTATAGTTTATGCCAAACTGTCCCATCTGCCTGGAATAGACTTGCTTCCACTCTGATCTACTTACCCTGCTAATTTGTCAGACCCCATGGAGCATTTCCGTATTGTGCTCACTGTCCACCTTTTGAGCACTCTGAACGCACCCTCTAAATTTGAGACACAGTATTTAATGTATTCCTTAGTGTCACAGTCCCCTTATTAGCCTGTGTACATCTGAAGGGCAGGGGCCTCACAGTAATCCTCTTCATACTTACTAAGACAAGTATGTGCTCAGTATTCATTCAACCATTACTGAAATGGAATTACTGCTTAGCTCTACTGTTTTCTTGACTCTTAAATTTTATAGATAGCATGTTTTTTCAGGCTTCCTGAGTAAATTAAATCTTTGTGAAAAGCCCTTTATTATCTCTATGTGCTAGCAAATAAAAGTATCTCATTTACACTAGAGACACTGGGAAAAGAATGAGTGTAATAAAGTTAAATCTCTGATGCAAATGTATCAGAGGGAAATCATGAAATTAGCAAAAACCACTCTAGTAAACACCATAAAAAGGTATCTTTAAAAGATAAGTAATTGTGGCACCTGTGTGGCTCAGTCCGTTAAGTGTTCAACTTCAGCTCAGGTCATGATCTCATGGTTTATGAGTTCGAGCCCCATGTCGGGCTCTGTGCTGACAGCTCAGAGCCTGAAGCCGGCTTCAGATTCTGTGTCTCCCTCTCTGCCCCTTGTTCTGCTCGCACTCTGTCTTTGTCTCAAAAATAAATCAACATTAAAAAAAAAAGAGTAGTAAAAATAAGTTATATGGATCATGAATATACACTCTCAGTAAGAATGCTGAGCAAATAAATACTTCTCATGGGACAAAATTTCCAACGATATCACCAGATTGGGCCTGTAAACATCTCTGTCTCTCAAAGTCACATAGGCAAAAGTGAAGATGACAGGCTCAGGACATACCACTGTGTTGATTCAAAGTGACTCTAGGGGCACCTGCGTGGCTCAGTTAAATGTTCGACTCTTGATTTCAACTCAGGTCATGATCTCATGGTTTGTGAGTTTAAGCCCCGCAATGGGCTTCACGGTTGGGATTCTCTCTCTCCCTCTCTTGCTCTTTGTCTCTCAAAACAAATAAAAAAAAAAACTTAAAAAAACATTCAAAATGACTTTAGTGATACCACAGGCA